GCGATTTACAGTTATGCGGCCTTCAAAAGTGGAAGGACAAGCTAAAGAAGCCAAAGGTGTTATTGTATGTGTGTGCGTGCTCGAACAGCAGTTTATGCTGTTATCTGCAGAAAGAGAAACCAAAACAATAAAGCCTTCGAGGGCGGGGGAATGGAAGACAAAGTCAGAGTTGGGATGGAGATCATTACCAGCCTCCTCCTTTGACCCGTCCCTGCTCCATCCAGACCTACCAGCCAACGAGCAGAACCAGAAAGCCGCCCAGGAGGACTAGAGGAACGGGGAGAAAAAAAGGAGAGGAGCCCCGGGCGTTCTGTGGGTCACCCCGTCACAGGAAGCTGATGCCTGCCCGTGGGATACAAAGTGTCTGGGTGGGTAGGGGTGGGGGTCCCGTAAAGCCTTCATTGCCGTGCCGCTCGAAGACTCACTGGCGCGGGGAAAAGACACGGGAGCTGATGGGTCAATGGAACAAGCGCACCTGGAGCTGTGCTTAATTGCGGCGACTGGGTTCATGTTTTTGGACTGTTGAGATGCACTGAATGCAACAATGAGCCATTGGTACGCAGAGCGCCGCCTCCCACACCTCAGGAAGTGGATTGTCATCAGAGCAGCACATTTTCTACACGCAGACTTGCGCACTTCCTAAGGACAAGATTCAGCAGCACAGGATACCCCATGTCCAAACCCCTGTAGCCCCTCCAGTGAGACGACAGCAGGTTGGCATTGCCCTGCAGCTGGAGGCTTCTCTCTACCTCCGCTCCATCCCTCCATACTTCCAGGGTTCCCTGTGTTGACTACAAACTTCGTAGTTCAACTTCTGCCTTTAGTTTGGGACTGTTAATGCGACGGCGTTGATGCAAGTGCTGGGTGATGCAGCGTGGGGGGGTTGTTTTTTAAAACTGCTGGGAAAATGATGCGAACCACCCAATGACAAGTTAATCCACTGCAGTCATATACCTCTGCCAGGGCTTTAGGATGTGTTATGCTTGGCTGATTCGTAGGTAACAGAAAGCTGGGATTTACCGTCGCCATGACTCATAATGAGTCACCTTGTACATTTAGACAAAACACAGAAGAAAAATAAAAATAAATCGTTTTACACGGTGGAATAGTGAGAGAAAAATGTACTGTAAGGCCGTCGAGAGGCTTTGAATAAAACGTCTCTGAAACCCAACAAAATGGTGGCTGCCAACACTTAACATCAACTGCATATCTTTTGTCATCCGTTTAGCCTCAGCAGTTTAGCCCTGCTGGCGAGATAAACCCTCAGGTAACCGAGACTCACTGACTTCCCTGTGTCTTGTATGCTTTTAGTTTGTGTGGCCTGCAATCAGAGTTACATAACATTATGCTGAGACAGTCAGTCAATCAGTAAAAAAGAAAAACATCCCCCTCTGCCCATGCTCAGTCATGACAAGGCTTTGAAATCTCTGTCAAACTAAGAGTGACTAAATCTGACAATCCACTTTACCTCAGAGAAAGAGAAATAGGAATTATCCTCAGCTATTGGGGTGAGGTATGGGGGGAGGCGGGGGGGGGCAGAGGAGGCCTGGATGATTCACACAGCACGCCTGACAGCGGCTGCGGTAGCTGTGTCTTGGAGTACGTGAATCACGTATAGGGATTGCTCAACTTTCAGTTCATTAGGAATGCTGCAGTAATAGCAAATGTTGATGGGGGAAAAAACACAACAGCTATAATAAAAAAACGAGTGTGCCACTATTCTGTTGATAGTGGCACACATCCTTCACACTGATGTCACTGGTCACGCTGGGAGGCTGCACTGACAGAAAACCTGGCAGGAATTCGAAGGGATTCCAGCTGTCACCTTAAATGTAGCCAAATAATCTGTGCCGCATTCAAACACACGCAGTCAACGTCGACTGGTTTGTAAACACGTGCGTTCTTTTCATTGAGGGAAGAAAACTACAAGAAAATCAACAGGGTGGAAACATTTAAGGCCACCGAACCTGAAATCCCAATTTTACCAATAACACCAAACTGTGCACGAGTTCATCAGCTGAGTGTGTGTGTGTGTGTGTGAGCGCGTGCATTTACGACCAGGGCAATAGGGCAGAGAGTAATATGCCCCCATAAAGCAGTGACGGCTCAGAACAGTAAAGGTTAAAGGGATGACGGGGGAACCAGCGCGGTCCACCTTAAACAGTGAAACGCCACAGCGGACAGCGCCGTGGTGCTGAAACGCTCCGAGCGACATCTGTACACAAGAGCAGGGAGGAGGAATCTACAGAGACTTTAACGTTGACAATCACGCACAGCCCGCCCGCGCCATCGCCACAAAGGACACCTTAAATGATCCCTCCACTGTCATGTTGTGTAATCTCGGTGACGCTCGTGGGGAAAGGTTAAGCAGCGCGGCGTGCTTTTTACGTGAAAATGGCGCCCGTTGCTGCTAACCGGCCCGTTGTAGGAGTACAGATACGGCGGGGAGGGGAGAGGGGAGGAGGGGGGAGGTTTGAAGGTCCATGCCGCATTATAAATACGATACTCGGTCATTCATATGAAGTACCCCCCCCCCCTAAACAAGGAAGCGAGATGAGAGACGATACCAGGGGGCCGATCGCCCGGGTCCTGCCGGCTAGCACGCGACTACCGAGGCTGTAGCCTGGCTGTCAAGAGCCAACGTGATCCGCCAAGTGGGCTCTCCCCCCCCCCCCCCGGGGCGGGACGGGGCTCGCAAATGTGCCTCTGTAATAACAAAACACCCCGGGGTTGTTCACCGCCACCAGCGGCACCAAACAACCCCCTCAACATCTCCACTTTTTCTTACTTTAACATTGTCTGCTCCTTCGCTTCCTCCTTCTTCTGTCGGTCCATGACACCGAGGATGATCTTCCTCTCATCCTCGGTGAGGTGGCTGAGGTCCGGCATCTCCGGCATGGCGCCGGCCGCCGAGGAGGCAGCGGCAGCGGCGGCGGCGGCGGCAGGGCCGCCCCGGGGCCCGTGTGGAGCAGACATCTTTTACACACAGTGGCTACAATTTAATAAGAAGAAGAAAAAAAAAGGAGAAAACAACGAGAAGAGCACCGTCAACCAGCAGCATTCTCGGCGATATTTGCCTTGATTATTTGTTTTTGTTGTTGCTACATTTCATGCCGTCAGATTTTCAAATTGGCGGTCGCGTTCGCTGGAGTCACCGCGGTCTACAGGCGGCATGGCACCTCGGTCAAAGGGGGGGAAGCCTATCGTGCACACGTCGCACGCCGAGCTGCAGAATTAAGGGTCAAAATAGGAATTACAGGTTTCGTCCCCTAATCTATTGAATGGTCATAGTGGGGTTATGAAACACGCTGAAGCCCAATGAGCCTGCAAACTGGGGGGAAACGCGACGTTGCTGCCGCTTGCAGGGTTGAACCGCCAGATTTTTTTACACATGGACATTTCTCCAATAAAAAAAACGCTCAGGATTAGAAATAGATGTCCTTAAAATGAAGCGAGAGCGCGCAGGCTGTAAAGGCTACAACCTTCAGGTATTCCAAAACACAAGCCTCCATCCATCCGGGGATTTTAAAAAAAAAGAAGAGGAAAAAAAGTAGAGGATGAAAAAACAACTCTTGCCTTTTATTTTGCAGTCATGTTAGTTCCTGTCTAACCCATCGCTGCCATCCTCTAGAAAGCCTTTACTCGCATGGCGGAACATACGAGATACCCGGTCCGTCCGTGTTTGTTTTCCTTTGGGCTCCTCAACCCTCCCCTGTGTCCCTCTCGTTAGGTCGCTTTCCTCCAGGTTGGTAATTCTTGGAGATTTCTTAAATGCACAAAAATGGATGCAATGAGAGAACGAGCGAGTGGGGAGGGTGAGAGGGAGCGAGAGGGAGGGAGGGAGGAGGGAGGGGGCCACAGGCAGGGAGCGAGGGGGAAAAAAAACCCAGATAGGAAGAGGAGGCGGAGCGATGGACACACGTAGAAGACTAAACCCGGCGAGGACGCGCGGATGTTCATTGACAGCAGATGCGGAAGATGCGGCAGCGGCGAAAACGCGGACCGGAGGAGGCGCGCGCAGCTGGAGCGGCGCGCACGTGATGCATATTTCATAAGAAGATCATGAGCGCTGTGAGATAAATACAGAGCATGACTAGTGACTATGAGTGTTACTGCAGGTGTGCGGCAACGGCTCCCATCACTCCCGTTTTCCTCACGCCGGCGTGCCGCGCGCGCACAGGTTCCGCGTTGAGGGGTGCTGTTGATGTCGAACGTGTGGACGCGCTTCTCCGAGAAGTTGATTTTACGCAAATAGCGTTTACATTTTAAGCACTATAATAAAAACAAACTTTTCAGATTGATTTTTAATTGTGGCTAAAAAGAAAAAAAACATTTTAAGACATTGCGTGCGACGTTCGTGCTGCTTGCCACTGGAACGCTCAGGTGAAATATATGACATTTGGGTGTTTTCAGGCTGCAGCGCGGATGAGGACTTCATTACGAGGATAGAGCCTCCACCTCTTTAGGGCTTTAATTCAATTAGCACCATTGCGGTGATCTCCTGCAACAGGTCACACAACCAGAGGGAGCTTGACTTCTGAATTGTTCCATTCATGGTTGTTTACATGGAGAAATGTATTTACATGCTTGGGGGGGGGGGGGGTATGTCCAAACATTGACTGGTACTGTACATAAGCTTTAAATTGTCAAAATAGAAGAACGACCCCTGAAGATGGAACCCTTTTCAATGTCAGTGGGATGCAAACAAAGGGTTGTCATTGACAACTTCTGGACTTATTAATCTGGAAAACATTATCGGTCACATTGCGTAATAGTCGGTGGGAGGGGCAGGAGGGATTTTAAAGCTCACTTTCAGAGAGGCCGGATCGTTGAGAGACTAAACTAAAACACATCAAAAAGACATCGAGAACAATCGTGTAGCCATCCAGGATGAGGCCTTGAGTTGAGTGCACAGTCGCCAAACATTTTTGCCTGAAAATGTTTTTTGAAGCATGTTGGAACCCTCACATCTCTGGTCGTTGTAATAATCAGCAACAGTAGCATGTGTCTGGAAATTTATTCATGAAAATGACAAATGAAATCCATTCCGTTGTATGTACCAAGTCACATGACTATTAAAAATAGTTGATGCAGAATGCAAAGTTGCTCATAAGAAAACCAGAACTTTGTGGGACCCTACGGCAAGAAGAACATAACACATGTTACATATATTTACAGTCTGTGCTCTCAGGCTTCAAACAACGCAGAACTTGTCCCTTAAACTGAAAAGTAAAATATTTCCTGTCTTCGTTGCAAGAAGTCAGAGCACGGCCCATGTGGGGTGTGTTGTGTGGTGGGGGGCCTATTTGACCACGGTCACAACATGCTTCTCCTTCTCCGTTAACAATGGAACACTTTCTGGCTTGCTGTGCTTGCGGACGTTCATCTCCCTGTGTAAAAAAGAGAAAAAAACAGGAAAAGGAGACGTGAACAGATTGCCGTTGAGAATATTCAGGAGCGGGACAGAGATGAGCAAACAATGTGGGGAAAGGTGGGGTGGGGTTAATATGAGACTGTTGACCAAACACCTACGTCACCCACTGCCCCGTGAAAATAAATGCATAAAGCACGGCCAGGAAATCACCCACAGTCCAAACACACGTCTGACGTGTAAACCCACCGCCGGTAATTAGAAAAAGGAAAAAAAGCAGCCGCAGACGGAGGTATGAATCACAGGACAGCCGGGCCGAGTGGAACAATCAATCCCCCATACAGGCTGTAAATGAGTATGTAAGGGCTATTGAGCCCATGTCAGAGGACACAGTCCCACGAGCCAGACTTTCCATTGAGCAGGTGGGACTGCGTAGGTTACACCTGCCGCCCGGGTCGCCATGACCCCACCGTGACCTTTGCGTCGTGGCCATTCGCTCAGAGACAAGGCGCTGGCTTCAAAACTAAAATGCATTAGGAACACGTACTTCCTGCGACGGGCCTCCTTCATGACCCTCAGCTCCTTGGTCTGGTGGTACAGACTCTTGGGCAGATGCCGGTGACGAGCGACACGTCGGACCTGCGGGTGGTGCTGGAACTTCTCCTTCAGCGTCTGGTTGTAGTTGGCCGCTTCTCTCTCTCTGGGGGACATCTGGGAGGCAAAAGGGAGCACGAGTCACGCAGACGCAATGGAAGAACAAAAAAAAAAAAAAGGAGGACGCAATAAAGAAATTAAAACATGAATGAGAAGAGGACAAATAGGAGTAAACACGTGGCAACGGTCCTCTAGACTAAACACCATTATATAAATCGTCCTGCGTAACTTCAGTGCCACTACAAATATATATTTGGTAGGTGCTCAGGAGCTTTTTGGTCACATGATCTCCGTCTGCCCCTGCAACTTTTCTCCTCAATGCTGGACTGAAAGTTATTTGTTGACTTAGCATCTCACCGTGCAGACCCAAAGTAAGCGCTTCAACGTTGTGCTAAGCTATAAGCTAACAGCAGTCAGCACAGGTCTCCCTTTCTGGGCCTTAGAACTCGCGCAGAACGTCGTCTCGCCCCCCCCCTCCCCTCATGTGATGCCCGTCTCTTTCTGGGGCTCGTACTTGAGATCAGAACAAGCAACACGGGGAGACTTTCCTCAGCGCTGCGTTTCTGAGTCAGCTGCCTCGCCACCGTTCGGAATTGTTGCACTCAAACATTTAGTGTCAGCATGAATCATGTCATTTAAAGCCCCCCCAGGTTCTCCTGAATGCCTCCATTCTGGTAATGGTGGGCATTTCCCGCAGGCGATGATGAGCGCGGGGTTTGTGCTGACCGCGGGACGTCGTCTGCATGCAGCGTTTTATTAATCACCGCCGGTTGCAGTGCGCTGCCTTTGCATCATAAAAGGCCCGGCGCTACAGTTTGCAGTAACCGCATTCAAAACAGAATCAATGCCCGTTAAAAAGTGAAGACACAAGCGCAACAACCTCCCTCCCGTATGCGTCCCCCCCCCCCGATAAACCGGCCGGGACTCGCCTTGGCTCGGAGAGCCCCCCCCCTCACAGGCTTTTATTCTGATTAAAAGCAATGATTTGTCTCAGACTCAATTTGCCGGAGAAGATGCTGATACTGTTGGACTAAACTGATGGGGTGGGCACACACGCTGTTGGTATGATGGATACAAGGTCCCTTCCAAAAGATGACTGGGCGACAACAGGGTTCAATTAGCAGCCGTCGTCCCGCTGAAGCTCTGGACTCAAAGCAGGCACAGTCAATACGATCCATGCAGGTCATGAGCACATGTTGGCAGTGACCATCTTACACAGGAAAACTAATCAGTTAGTAGAAAGTTTGGCCGTAATTTGGTTTATTGTTTGTATTCCGTTTCAGATTCACTCTTTGAAAAAGGAGCAAGTTTGAAAATTTGAGAAAACATTTCTGGAGGCCTTGGAGCTACAAACCCAAGAGTCTCCAGCAAACTGCAGGTGGTCAAGTTGCATTGTGGGAAATGGAGGTTTTGACACGGTGGGAATTTTGACATAGAGTGGCGCCTGCACACGGATCCACACAGACGCTTCCCATGGTGGGGGTCACACACACACACACACCTCTCACAGACCTCTACACATGACAGACTATGACAGACGTCCTATAATACAGACGTCTTTCATCAAATACCGTCATAAATCACCATTCAATCACTGGAGCAGTAAACACAGGCACTCCAAAGTAAAATCAATGCGTAGTGACGAGTGACGGTTAGGCTTGCAAACGGGGCGGTACATTTCCAGAAGTTTCCATGGGAAGTGAAGCTCGGGAATTTTGACCCTTTTTTGCAAAAACATGAAACAGGGATCTTAAATGTTGTTGAGAACCTGGAGCATTGTCTAACAGAAATGACCAAGCATATTGATTACTTGGTAAACTGAAGCTAAAGACAAGACACCTGCAGTTAATCCCAGCTGTGTACTTTGTGTGTGAATACAGACTGTTTATGCTGCTCCCCCGATGAAAGAAACATGTAGAAGATATATAAAACGTTAGTAATCTGGCAGTGGCAAATAACTTCATATAATAAAACCAGAGCTTCGATTTACAATAAATATTTCAACGTATACTGCTTTGTTTGCAGAAATAGTGCGCAACACACTACCTTTTTGTGCATATAAATACAATTAATCACAGAAAATCCTGATATTAAAAATATTTATGGTTGCTCAGCCATAATATACATGCGTAAATACGCACAGCTGCTGATAAAGTCCTGAGCGCGACGCAGACAAATCCTTGATTCTGCATTTCTTGATAATTAAAGACCCCTTCAGTGCAACCCGATTGTTAATGCTTCATTATGTTGAGAGTGGGCCGCTTTAAGTGATTGGCCGATCCAAACTGCTGATAGGAGCAGCCCTTGTCTGATCTCTTTAAGTGCTAAGCTTGCGGATAAATCTTCTCTCACACAGCAACGCTAAAACAAGTGCCAAAAGTGGGCAATCTTCCACTCCGGAGCTGCATTAAGAGAATAAGCGAGGGTGAATCCGTTTAGGGATGAAAGACGGCTGTTGGAGACGACGGCATTGATCCATATTATTCTGCCAGAGTGGATGATACTTCAGCATTTCATGAGCTTTATGACAGAGCTGAGCATGACATAATGTAAGGGCCATAGTTTCTGAAGGCACTACATGTACAATATACCGATTTATAATACGGGTAGATGAAATCCAGCGTTCTGATTGGTTGAGAATGAGTGACGAGGGCTACATTATTGGGCGATAATGTACAGTTGCTGTTCACATTGACCCGAGCGTTCCGTATCACTGCACTCAGAGTAGCAGGTTAGCTTTTGCTCTGTGGCGATCCCGAAAACCCCCCAGAAATCCTACAAATGATCATTTAAGCAATGCGAGCTTAGCAACCGGACAATTAAGGTGGACGTCATCAGCGATGTGAATGAGTGAATGAATGAGTGAGTGCAGGACCCAAAACGGTTTACCCCACACACACACATTTGGTACCTACAACTATTTAGTGCTAAAACCACTAAGGTACTTGAGGCTGTACAACCTTCCCGAAATGTTACATTATTGGAGAATAAAGTACAGCCTCTCGTACCTTATTGATTTAATATAACAAGGGGGGCGTCCAAGAAAGAGGAATTATTTTTTCACTTTCGATCCTCGCTGCACACGCTCGCGCCCCCTTCCCACCTCGCAGCACAAGATCCGGTAAAACACCGGAGGAAGACCCGGGACGCCTGACAGCGGCCGCTTACTTAAGGCGCCTTTGAAACGTGGTGGACCCGAGCCGGATAGACAAGGAGGCAGGACTCACCACTCCGAGTTTCTCCGCCGCGTTGGCTTTCCACAGGCGGATATTCATCTCGTCAGAGCCGCTCAGGATGTACTTGTTGTCCAACGACCACTTTATGCAGATAACGTGCTGCATGCGTTTGGTGTGGTAGACCTCCCTAAAGAGAAGAGAAACAAGTCAATGCATCTACAGGATAACGTTTTACAATGTGCAGGATTACCACTCTGATGAGGAATAAGTTCACTCATGAGCTTCAGTGTTTCCCCGACAATAATAGAGCAGACAGCTGCAAACTTCCAAATATAAATATCACCAGCAAATAAACTATTAATATTCAGAACTGGGAAACTAACCAGTCTCGTGTTTACACACATCGCTGTCAAAGCCCAAAAACAATCTGAACCGAACTGTGAGGTTTGTGATCCGTTGCAGCGCTACACGTCAATGTAGGACAAACTGACTGTTGACTTCTACTGACCATTCATTTAACTATAAAGGGTTTTCCACACGCTCAAAATTAGAAATAGCAAAAGAATGGAGTAAATGAAATAAACTGCGTAGGCCCCAGAGACAGAACTACTGGCACCACAGTGACATGGAACACTTCTACTTACTCTGGTTCAGTCAGAAGAACATAAACGGTCCCTGAACACGGACCAGTATCAGACCACAGTAATCGTGCATAAGCTGGTGTTTAAGGTCGTACTAACCGGCTGTGGCCGCCGTCCTTGGCAAATATGCGGATGGTTTTGTCAAAGCTGGCCGAGACAAACTCCTTCCCAGTGGGCGAATAGTCAACATCCAGCGCGGCGGAGACGTGGTCCATGTGCACGGTGATTGGCTTGTCCAGGAAGCGCATGTCGTATGTGTAGAGGCTGATGAGACAAAAAGGTGCAAAGTCAGGCCCTTCGGTCAAACTGCCCTTTAACGGAAAGCGTTTCAGTGTCACAGGACGGCGCGTTAAATCGCACATTGTGTGAATTACTGCAACAATCTCAGACTCACTTGTAGTCCTCATTGCAACATGTGAAATAATAGGCTTCCATCGGGTTCCAGCATAACGTGTTGCTCCTCATCGTCATGATAACCTACACAAGGAAATGAAAACCCACCGTAGATACAAATCAAGTCTTTGTGAAAGAATGGACAAAGGTTCATGCTCGCAGCAGCTGGGTGGCAGAACCCACCTTCTTCAGCGGCGTTGATTCTCGCATGTCGTACAGGACTACGCTCCGGTCAGAGGCACAGCTCGCCAGGAGTTCAGTCTGGGAACAGATACAAACGGTTACAGCCGGGTGCCTGATTGAAAACAACTCTAGATAACCACTTCGACGGGCGTCAGGACGGGACAGGACAGGACGGGGCGCAGGGGCCGTCACAGTGGGAGGGATGCCCGTCGGGGGTGTGTGACGCTCAAGTGACGTCTCACCTCCACGGGGTTGAAGCGGACGGCGCTGAAGCTGTCGACGCCCCACGTGAACGAGCGGATGGGGCTCGTCCGCTGCTCGTCCCAGATGTCCACCTGCTGGCCACACGTTGCGAACACGGCATCCTTCTGGTGGTGGTCCAGTCCGGTGAAGACCGACTGCAAATGGACAAGACTCGGTTTTTGTTATACAAATAACCGAAATGGGATATTTATATTGTTCAATTATCACAATGGAGCCTCAAGAGGCCCAGTGATCCCACCTTGCCCAGGATCGTGTTGAGCGGCTCCTCCTCCTCCCCGTAACCGGGCGCCTCCATTTTCCACTGCTTGATCGTCTTGTCGTCGCCAACCTGTAACAGCAGAAGCCATTTAACACACGCGCCACAACAACCACAAGACCAAATCCCAAAAGATCTTCTCAGATGTTGAAGGGTCAGCGCTCACCGTAAAGAAGGAGCTCCCACAAAAGCGGACCACCATTCCACGGACGAAACCCTCGTGTGCTTGGAGAGTGCGGACGCACTCGCGTTTGGTCAGATTCCACACTTTCACCTGAGGGCGGAGGCGCACAATTACAGCAATGAGTGCGTTGCACAATTAGTAGTGTGAGTCACCGTAGCACGGGACGGCACTAGCCACGGTAAGATACATGCACGTATGCATGCATATGCACACCTCCCCATCGCAGGAGCCAGAGAGCAGGGTGGAGAGCGTCTTGGTGTGCTTGGCCATGCAGTTGACCCCGTCCCGGTGTCCATCCAGAGAGGTCACGAAAGGCTTGGCGAACAGCCGCTCGAGCTTGGTGGCGTTCAGGGCCCGGGTGTACTCTCTGCTCACCTCAAACGGATGCAGGGTCGGGTCATAGTTTCTGGGTACTAACGAGAGAGAGAGAGCGCAGTCGCTCCTTAATGAACTGTAAAAAAAAAAGGGAACCTTAAATAGCTGCTAATGTTGTTGCGCTTAGCTTTAGTCACGTGTTGGATGTTTTCAATGCATCCCGTTTGTTAAATGGAAGCTTACAGACAAGGACAGTCTCCTAATGTGTCTTCTCATATAGTTCGCATTGTGTTTGTGGTAAAAACAACTAGCGCGTGGCTGATGTTTGCTGAGAAACACTAGCGAGCCATAGCATGCTGTGCTTTAGCCTAAATGAGATTAAAGTGCATTACTTACCACGTTGAATATCTAGTTTGGTCTCCCGGACGTAATCATCCGGGTTCCTCGAGAGGACTTTAACCTTCATTTGGTCGAATAATTCAAGTGGAAAGACAATTAAAAATCGCAGACAGTCTTCGGTTTAACGAGAAAAAAATTAGCAATCAGAGGCCATGTGTTGATGAAGAAGGAATTCGTTTGACCGCGTTGCATTGTGGGATGTCCGGGCTACTGCCTTCGTCACTGAACTTTGGGTAGAGCATCAAGATGCCGAATTTACCAAAGAAACAACCGGAAATACGCCAATTTGGTCATCAAACTCCTTCAAATTAAAGGTTTGGCTAGGCTGTGAGCCGAATTTTACAACCTTGGTTCAAGAAGGCCTTTATCTTTACACTTATTACAAAAGCACATTTACCTTGATATCATTTACATAGTAAAGTACCCAGTACCCTGGGTGCCACTTTTCACAGAAAACAAAATTATCTTACAAATGCTGGTTTATCGTTCGCCTGAATTATTTTATTTTGAAGGTTTTTACCGGAAGCACAACTCTTAATTTCCTGGTTTTGAAATGTAGTAAATTACTGGCAAGGTCGAGTAGTGGCGCTGGTACTGTACATCCCCGGTAACGTCACCTCGGCCATGGCGGGTCCCCGCGTGTTACACATGTGGTTGACCCTGTAAACGCGATGGCCGTGAGGGTGTTACGCGTCGGTACAGCGGGGCCGGTGACTTGTCGTCTGGGCGCTACGGAGGAATACTTCCCGGACTCACGTGACGGAGCGCGCGACTGATTACCTTGTCAGGAACCAGCCACCGTCAACGCCAAACGCCCGGTAGACCCACGCTTCCTGCTAACATGGGTTCCGCTGATAATCACGGAGCCGTCACGGAGACCGGGTCCCCCAAACCCGCCGCGGCCGTGTCCCCGGCCGGACACGTCCGCCAGGTCTTCAGCCACGTGAAGGTGGAGAACCTGTTGGCGGGGCTCAGCGGAGGAGTGGTGTCAACGATGATGCTTCACCCGCTGGATCTGGTCAAAATCAGGTTCGCAGGTAACTACACTTTACTGCTGTTATCGCTCTTTGATGTAAACGTATAATCACAATCATGTGCAGTACGGAACCGTGTTGCCAGTTAGCAGCTACATCGAGTACGAACCAACTGTAGATTTTCATCGAATTTAACTAAATGTGCAGACTTGATGCGTGCGTTGCGTGATGCCGACATTACCGTGTTGCTATGGCACCCTGCTGGTGCCCATAACCCATGTTTCTGATGTCCTTTCAATTCAGTGAGCGATGGATTGCACATGAGGCCCAAGTACAGTGGCATACTCCACTGTATGAAGAGTGTCTGGCAGCAGGAGGGACTCCGAGGACTCTACCAAGGAGTGACACCCAATATTTGGGGCGCCGGAGCGTCTTGGGGTCTCTACTTCTTTTTGTACGTAAAGCATGCAACTTTTGGATCATATCTCCAACATGAATAAATAAACGTTATAAATAAAAAAAGTATTTCACCCCGACCCGTACAGCTACAATGCCATCAAGGGGTACGCAAAGGAGGGCCGCGTAACTGAACTGAGTGCCACGGAGCACCTGGTGTCTGCAGCCCAAGCAGGTTCGTCCCACATGTATCTGAGCACTGCTTCTGTCAACAACAACCAGATGGCACTGCCTCCAGCTGGCCCCAGCACATTGGCCCATGTGTTGCTTTTGTTCGCGTGGATCTGCTGCCTGCCGGTCAAGGTTTAACAACGTTCTCCGTTTGAGGTTAGATGGCGCTACTGTGGATGTCGTCTGAGTAAGCAGGAGTCAGTCAAGTCCCTAATTCAGGAATTGGGGGGTGTTTTGTGATGTGACTCATAATCTCACTAAAAGTAGGCATTTGTTGAAATGTTTGTTTATGAAGTGGTCAACAACAACTATGGATTCATTTTGGCATTTCAATTTTGCTCCAGTGGCATTCAGGTGTGTGATTCAAAGGCATCGGCAGTTGCAGCCACATGCGTAAAAAAAAACCCAAACATGAGCGCTGTTTGAAAGAGTTGTGTTTGCTTGTGCTTAAACAATCACGTGCGTCCAGCCTCATTACAACACTGCCTTCTTATCGTCACCCAGGCATCCTGACGCTCACCCTAACCAACCCCATCTGGGTGACCAAGACGCGGCTGGTGCTCCAGTACGATGCCGACCCGACCGGGAAGCAGTACAAGGGGATGATCGATGCTCTGGTGAAGATCTACCGCCACGAGGGAGTGCCAGGGCTGTACAAGGTGGAACGCTTCAGGACTTTATAGCTGACCTTTACCCTGCTAAGCTGGAATAGTTGTTTTTATTGATTCATCAATCACCACTAGAGGGCACCAATGGACTATATAAGCTGTCGTACAGACGACGTCCCATTTTCAGTGATCTGTTGGTCTGTTTGTGCGTCCTGAAAGGTCATGTGCTTGTCTTAGGGTTACGTCCCTGGTCTGTTGGGCACGTCTCACGGAGCGCTGCAGTTCATGGCCTACGAAGAGCTCAAGAGAGACTACAACAAGTACAAGAAAGTGCCTTCAGATGCAAAGCTGGTGAGTCGACCGCCCCGCCGGCCACGAGCCGCCCGGCAGCGCGCTCACCGCTTTAAAATAACGGAGGCAAACAAAGCTCATCATTTCTTTTTACCCTTTTTTTTTTCTACCCTGCCCGCTTGTCTTCCCTCTCCCTGGTGGTTGTTCTGTGCAAGCAGAGCTCATTGGAGTACATCACAATGGCAGCAGTATCCAAAATATTTGCCGTGGCCACAACGTACCCATATCAGGTGGTGCGAGCTCGTCTGCAGGACCAGCACAATACATACAAAGGAGTCCTTGATGTCATCACACGGACATGGAGGTAGGACCCCGATCCTCCGCTAGAGGGGGTTTAGCTGTAACCAAATGTGTCTGTTAACTCATGTCCAATTAGAGCAGCGATCATCTTTCTGTTTTTTTTCCCCCCCTCTCTCTCTCTCTCTGCAGGAACGAAGGCGGCGTTGGCTTCTACAAAGGAATCATCCCCAACGTGATTCGAGTCACTCCGGCATGCTGCATCACGTTTGTAGTTTATGAGAATGTGTCTCGCTACCTCCTGGGACAAAATCAGTGAGGCCCAACAGGGCGGCGAGGACAGGAGGAGACTCTGAGCTCACGCCGGCGCTTCGGTCGGCATTCAGAGACGGACAGCTGCACCCTCGGCGCGGTCTACGTGTAAATGTGCAGATGTGAGAAGCATTCGTTTGCACCGAGTAAGCGAAATGGTTGCCAACTCTGAGCCACAGAATCAACGGGGGATTGTTTTCTTTTTCTTTTCTTTTTTTAGATGCATGACAAACACTTCTCTACCTGCCAGAGGACATGCAGCGTTTTTATGATGCGTCTGATGTCATCGTAGTTGTTTACTATTTATGTTCTGGCAGCAGAGAGGGGAAAACCAGCTGATTATCAGCAGCAGAATTGTAGATCTCAGGGTTCCATTTGCATGTGTGTTTCATACTAGTTTGTGTCTTTTAAATTATTGATTCATGTAAACACACACAGCAGCACTGTGGATGATTTCGTTTATCCGCAGAATTCGTTTATGTCCCGGCTACAAATTGTATCCGCAGCCCAACTGCTTTATCTGCGTTGTTGTGTTGGATTTATATAAATACATGTGATGTATGAACAGCATTGAGTTTATCACAGAGCATTTCAAAGCTAGTTAGAAAGTTACATTTAAAAAAAAGCAAGAAATTACTTTATTAACAGCAATAATGAATATAAACATGTCAAATGAGTACATAGTTACATGTCTTGTCACAATGTATTTTACATGGTTACTGTGTACAAACAGCAGCACCCATAAGCAGAAAAAGGCTACAGTACAGAGTTTGTTTTTGGGAGACCGAATAACACATTATTCCTCTCTACATGCCTGTCGGCTAGTATTTGAAAAGAAAACATTGAAGTTCCCCTCAGTGACGCCTCATCAAACCGTACCTGATGGTTTAGGGGGACCAAAGGACACACTCAACCTTCTATCTCATTTGGGCAGCTCCTCGACGATAATCCTGGACACTGAATTCCAGCCGGTAGACGCGTCCCCCCGTGGGTAGTCGGAACAGGTCCCCACCCACACGGCCACGTCCACCAATCCGGCTTTGACACCGTCGCACAGCCCTTCAACTGCGGAGGGGGACCAAAATAAAAAGGAAGACAGTGCTAATTAATTTCAGGGAACAACCCAAGAGACAGGAGCCTGTTTTCTGACACAGTGATGAACTTTCCAAATTTGAAGACTGTCGACCAGCAAATTAAACAATTTGGTTTAAGCCTTCTGCTGGTGGCCTTAGCTTAGCACAAAGCTAATTTGCTAACTTTGCTCTGTGCAAAAACCTAAGTGCTGCTGGCTATAAACAGTCCAGCAACCTGTAAACAGCAACATGGTATGTTTACTTATTTCTTAATATGACTAAACTTGTCACTTCAGGAGCTTTACAGGGGCTGTTGGATGTTTTTTGTCCCATTTGGACGGGGCCAGGTCAGCGGTTTCCCCTTGTACGCTATGCTAAGCTAACTGGCTATCGCTAAAGCTCATCCAGCTAACTCACTCTTCCCAAAATGTTGAAATGTCGCTTTAAACATGAAGCATCATAGGCATACAAAAGCCAAAACCCCAGCGGGCCACGGTGCTTCCGCACGGGCCCCCGAGTCGTACCCGAGGACGTCCGGTGGATGTTGATGGTCGAGTTGAGCTCAGGGCTTCCTTGGTCTAAGTAGATGATGGACTCTACGGGCAGGGGTCCGGTGCACTCCGCCCCGTTGAAGGTGAAGTACCACCTCTGGCAGCACGCGTTCTTACACTTGAGTCTGAGGGAGCCGCTGAAGAGGACCCTCAGGGAGCTGTCCGACCGCAGCTTGGTGAACGTACAGTCCTGCAACGCACCAAGGGGGTGGGGGGGGTTGGCATCCATTGTGTTGGTTGCCTAACAGTTTCCGTTAATTTGTAAAAACAAATCCCCCCGTCGTACTTACAGCTATTTTCCCCAGGTCGATGCCGTAATTCAGAGAGCTCCAGGCGCACTGCTTGTAGTTGGGCCTCCAGGGCTCCTCGAAGATCTCGTTGACGCACTCGCCTTTCTCGCCTTTGAGCCCGTCGCGCCCAGGGATCCCCGGCGTCCCCGGGATGCCGTTGGTTCCGGGGTTGCCCTCTCTGCCGGGGCCGCCCGCCGGTCCCTGCACGCAACTGGGGAACTGCAACGAAGAGGACGTGGGGATGAAGGACACGCGATGACATCGGTAGTCCGTTGTTGTCAAACTTTCTGTTAACGGTTTGCACCTAAACGCTGTCGCTCATCTAAGCCTCACACACACACACACACACACACACACGAAGCCGGATTTCACCTCATCTACCAGCCGCACAAAGAAACACACTGCCGAAGGGCTGGAATGAAGTGAAGAAAAACAGATGTGACCCGGACCGAAGCAGAGCGACATAACCAGCAAGCCGTGAAGCAAGTGGAAGACGGATTGCGTGTTAAAGAGGGACCGGAGGACATGGGAGGTGTTCGGCCGCACAGCGGGTGGTGTGATTGATGGTCTAGCCGAGTCGCCTGCTATGTTCTAAAAGATGCTGAGTCAAACACACACACACACACATGGGGGGTGGGGGGGGGGTCAAGCCGGGCAAAACTTCCCCACTACATACAGACAAGGAAACAATGACGATCCAAAAAGCTTTGCCCCAACAGATTACAGTGCCTGCGTCCACTCATGAGGGTTTGTTTTTTTCTTCGTACACGTAAGTTTTTATTTGGGTGATTTGATCTGCAAACAAACATTGTCGGGCTCAGACATAAACACGTAGTCCTCGGCCTTCAGCAAAATGCTGACGTTGAAGGGATTCGGCTGTGGACTTTTCTCGTTGGCTCATTGCTGCCCTTTTGCTCAGCATTCAGCTGTGGAGCGGTTTGAGAGGCACGTGGCCAAAAAGGTATTAAAAAAAAAGAAAGGCAGGAGAGGAGAACAAAGAGTTTCTACTAGTTTCAATGTCTTTTTGGCACTCAAGCCCCTTATGAGGTATAAATATCTATTTGATGACATGAATCAGGAAAAAGGCTTTTAATGTAAGACCGTATTCCTACACCAGCTGCTGCTAGCGCCTGCTGTAGCCATTAGCGTGCGGCCTGGAGATGTCTGACATCATCTCAGTGGGCAAAGTCTGTGATGGGACCAACGTATTGTGGTTTGGCATGAATGGGCTGTAATAGACCTCCAATTTGTCCTCAAGGGAAAGGGACAAAAGTCCCAAGCAGCACGGCTAAAATGTGGAAATACAGAGTGCGTTTGGGTGGTATTCTGCAAGGAGAAGTGTCCCCGTTTTATTAAGGGTTGGGCTTTTGGAGACATTTCAGAGCAGACTAATGAATGAAACCTCTGTCTTTTTTTCTTCCTTCTTTTTGCAACACAGCTGACTTTTATATTAGCCTCCAGTCTGCTGTTTCTGTAGTTTCTGATCTGATCCCACAGCCCAGCTCTACTGAATGTTAGTAGCACACTGTTCAAATTACTGTAACTGAAGCACAAAGGCTGCATTTGCCGCCTAGAAAGTGCAGTCAGCCACTAGGCAATCAGTAGCATTTCATGCATTAGTCCACACCGAAGCACGGGCCGAGGCTCTCGGGGAGTAACCACTGCAGGGATATGACGGTCGGCTTCGGGATTTTATTTTAGCATTTTAGATTTGCAAGATCTTGAGAGGGCGGAAAACAAGATTTGAATGATTACCATGTTGTTCAAATGAGCAGGTCTTCCTTCTCCAAAGTGTCTAGTGCAGTTGGCCTTTTCGGCGTCATTCCCAGTGCACTGGATACAAATGGTCACATTAAGAACATGAGGAGCGATTCATCAGATCCTGCCACTGGGCTGCTCCCCGTTGCAGAACAGGGCTTTCAATGAAAAATGGAGAGCAACTGCTTATTGTGGTTCTCAAAGTGAGATATGCAGACTTCCAGGAGTCAGTGCAGCAAAATAAACACTACTTTCACTCTCAGTCTTTTAAATCCCTAGAGATCTAGGGGGAGGGGGGGGACATATGCGTCCACTTTGTTCCAGAACTAACTTTCCACCTTCAGCAGAGCAAGGAGGGTTATGTGATTCCAGACAATGATATAAAAGATTAAGGTCAGTGGGAAATTAATTGAATCCCCCCCACACACCAAAAACCGGTTTTAGTCCAGTAAGAAACCAGATAGATGACAAAGACAGGGACAGACGGACGGACGAAATGAGCTGGACCCAAACTTCCTGTTGGGGCTTTTTCCCTCTGTTCCTGACCTGGAATAATAGAGAACCAGCTGACCACACAACAGCTGAAGCTGCAGGGACTCATTCTGCCAACGTTGTGGCCACATCAGTATGAATCTGCAGATGGTCCGTTTTACTGTGGAATCGGTGGTTTAAAAAAGTTATCCAGGAGGAGTTTCAGCAACTTCAAGTGCCTCGTGAATGTAAGCATATAGATGCATTAAAAAAGGACACAAAGAGCGACACATTGCAATACATCTACCCGAGTGCATTTACTGTAAATCACCGTTAACTAATAAGGGAAAGCCACTAAATCTATCCAGAGCGCATCCATCTCTCGTGGAACGACACGTGTCTCTACTTTATTCTCTGGTAATGATCACAGATCTTACCTTGTCGGCGTCAGGATCCTTTCGGTATCCTCTATTTCTCACCTTTTCCACCGCATACAGAGGCAAAGACAAGCAGACAAGCAGCAGCAGCAGCGGGCGCGCGCTCAGAGGAGACATCGTGTCTGCGGCCGTGCGCGATGTGAGGCGACCGTGGTGGACTCCGTGGACCAGAGGGCAGGACGAGGAGGGAAGGAGCTGGACTCCGTGGACCAGAGGGCAGGACGAGGAGGGAAGGTGGGGGGGGGGGGGGGGGGGGGGAACTTGAAAACCCCCCCCTCCTTTTGAACGGATCTCGGGGCAAGGGAGAAATAGGGTTTATCCCCAAAAGCCGAGACCGGGGGCCCCTCTTTTTTCCCCTTTTATAATGATTGTTTTTTTTATTCAAATTAAATTGGATTGATACAAAATTCAGCTGACAAGATCGGCTACGTAAAAAATACAGTAAAAAATGTCTCACAAAAGCTGTATAGAGCGATTCATAGACTACACTACAGACCTCTGTCCACATGGCAGAATGGGAAGATCCAGATGGAACAGAAAAGGGTGAAGAGAACTCCCCTTTAATTCTCCCAAATATAAAAAGGCACAGAATCCCAAATGAAGAACACACGGCAGCATGTCTGGACAAACCCCAGACGGTGATCTGGAAGCACTTTAAGGAGGAACTTATGATCTGTGACTATACGCTATGAATAACTCCTGAACAAAGACCCAATTTCTCTCCTTTTTTCTGTTTGTGACTATTCAATAATCATTAGTGTTTTGTGCTTCTTTCACAAATAGTGCAAAGCTGTTTCATTTGTTTCCTCGATTGGATTCCAAATCATATGAATGCGCGCGCACACACACATGCACACACGCACACACGCACACACACACCCCATGTGCACAACATCTGTAGCTTCTTTGAAGTCCTTTGAAGGTACGGAACTACTCAAAGGAAAACACATTCTGGTGGAAAACCTTAAAGCTATACTTTATCCAAATTCACTTCTTCAAAAAGAGACACGTCTGCACCATGTGTGGTTGTTGCTGTAGAAACCATTCGAACGCAAAACAAACACGAAGTGAAGAAAATGACTAATTCAACATCGTCTGAAAACCAAGTCATGTTTAAGATTGCGCCTTTGTCAAGAGGAGCAGTTAAGAGGTTGTAGCAAAAACAATAAGACATTAAAATAAATGGTTTTACCACAAGAAGTCTTTTCTTAGAACGTTTGGCAATATCATGACTCTCAGTGTAGCGACTAGTCCAGTGACTTGGCATCTAAAAACAAAATAGAATATTTACATAAATATTGCATTCTCTAAGATGTGCCCTATGTCATGGAGCTACAACTACAAAAAACAGTTGACCTAAAGTTTGAATCCCCGCCAACACGTCGGTAGATGTTTGGGTGGATCACAGCTGAGCCGCTGCAACATTTCAGTATGTGGCAACGACGACCACTATAAATACACTAACCCTCTGCTTGAAGCACATTCTGGTCCTACACAGCAAATTTCAGAGTTAAATTGACTCTGAGATTGAAGCTGGTGTTTATATTGTCCCAATCTTGTCAGTGTTAAATCAACACTCAACAAGTCTTAACAATTTAACTTGGAATAAGTGTCAAATAAATCTGCTCAGTGTTAAATACACTTTTCCTTAACACCAAGAAAAGGAACTCTAAGAATTTTGCTGTGCAGCACACCGCATGTTAAATACTCGAGGTATGTGACAATATGCTGACTGCGACGTGGCCGATGCCATCACGCACAGGCTCGTGAGACGAGAGGGACCGGGCGGAGTCAAGGACGGGCACTTCTGTGGACGGACGCGGACCCCTCAGCAGGTGCCGTCCTTTGCGTCCTTGCTGTCCTCGGGCGGCGGGTGCGCCCGCGGGCGGGCGGGGTCCTGGGCGGCGCTGTGCTGCTGTGCTCCGGGGCCGTGGCGGGCCTCGGAAAGCTCGCTGCGCGGAGTCATCCTGAAGGGACACATGGGGGATTCTCTGTGCTCATCGCTTGTACAGACAGACGTTCCCTATGACAACAAACAACAGGCTGCCGAGATGTCTCACTCACCTCCCGTCCGGGACTCTGTGCACGCTCTCGGAGCGGCTGCTGATCTTACAGGAGCTCCCCCCTTTGCTGCGTCTCTCCCCCCCGTCCCTCTCCCCCCTCTTGGAGCTCCGGCTGGAGGTGCCCCTGTCCAGGTGCTCCCTCGCCGAGGCCTCAGACGGGGAGCCACGGCCGCGGGGATCGTGGTTGCCCGGCGCGGCACCGGCGGAGGACGCGTTGGTGGGCACGGCGCCGGTGCTCGTCCCCATGGACTTGGAGACCACCTTGAGCTTGTGGGAGCTCGGCTTGTACTGCTGCTTCTTGTGCTGCACGCGGCTGTTGTGCTTGAGGAAGAACTCGCAGGACTCCTGCAGCACCCGGCGGCTCTCAGTGATGGGGCTGTGGGACAGAGGACACGGAGCGGTTGGGGTCAAACTGCACCCCATGGGACCTGGACACGCGGCAGGAGACGCCGTCTTACTCTCTCTTGCGGGTCCTGTTGAAGAAGTAGGCCCACTCGGAGCAGGTTTTTTTACTGCTGACCCAGAAGGAGGCAGATATCCCGACCACCAGCGTCATCAGGTACTTCACCAGAAACAGGGAGAGGTCGGGCCGCTCGTGCTCTTGAGTCTGGAACAAAGAGACATAAACAAGCTGTCACACTCCTGCGAGTTAGTGTGTGAACTAACAAAAGTAACTTTACAGGTAATATATATGACTGAGCTACTGTAGTTGGGTTCTCTCTTTTACATGTTTGTTCTTATTATGAAACATATTGATCTAAAATATTTTACTCATCACATTTTGGCGATAAAGTAATATATAAAAAATATATAGGTATCCTGCGACTGACAATATGTTATAATGTAATAAGAATTTCCTTTCAGGCCAAACAAGACTTTTTTAATTGGGTCTTTTAGCTAATTCTCCACAAATAGCTGGCAAACTATTTGAGACCTTTCAAGCATTCATTATTAATTTGAACATTTAGAGTGACATTGACTTGACCTGCTCCTTTTTTTACACAAACACACGCCAACATCAGCTCAGCGCTCCTTTTCAGTCAGCCATAACAAGGTGCAGGCCAAGTGGACGTGTTCAGACCTCAGCTACCTTGTAGGGGCAGGGGATGCTGTACTCTTGGCAGCGGTCGTGGATCCAGGTGTTCTCCCAGCTGCTGCGGTGGCTCTGCTCGTAGGTGTAGCAGGCCAACAGCGTGACCAGCGGGACCAGGTAGAGGCAGCTGAACACGCCGATGCGGATCATGAACTTCTTCAGCTTCTCCTGGTTGCGCTCGTCGTGCTGGATGACCTGCCGCACGTGGTTGAGGGACACGATGCCCGCCAGGATGAGGAAGAGGCCGACCACGACGCCCACGCACAGAGGCGCCAGGACGAAGTAGCGCAGGGCGTCCAGGTCATAGAGCCCCACGAAGCACACGCCGCTGATGTTGTCCCCTTCCACCTTGTTCAGCGCCAGCAGCATGACGGTGAGCGCCCCGGGGATCCCCCACGCCACAGAGTGGAACCACACCTAAAAGACAAGCGGATCAGCACCCTCACGGCGGCTCGTTCCACACTCACATTTGTCGGATACCCTCAAACGCCCCTCACCGCTTTCTTTTCTATGGCCTCGCAGCTCCACTTGGGCCCCGCGGCCAGGAACCAGGTGATGGTGAGTATGACCCACCAGACGATGCCGGCGATGGTGAAGAAGTAGAGCAGCATGAACAGCAGAGTGCAGCCTTTGCTCTGAGAGCCCAGCACCACCGTGTCCACGCCGGCGGGGAGGTCCCCTCCGGCGCACGCCGCGTTGTTCCCCAGCAGGAAGCCCACGAAGTAAATGAGCGACACAAAGCTGTAGCAGACGGCGTAGAAGATTATGGGGCGCTCCGGGTAGCGGAAGCGCTTGACGTCGATGAGGAAAGTGAGGAAGGTGAAGAGCGTGGCGCCCAGGCAGATGACCGAGCACACGCCGATGAAGTTTTTGGCAAATTCGACGTCGTGGGGCTTGAAGTACATGTTGGCGCAAGGCGGGGCACAGCCCTGGGCGCCCAGGAAAGACGAGCCGTGGCCCGGTTTGGTCTTCAGCTGCAGCGGGCACCAGAAACCGAGGTCCCGCTTCGCCGAGGAGGAGCTGATCGCGGTGGTCGCGGGGAGCGTCGGAACACCGGCAGAGCCGCATGGCTCCAATCTAGTAAAAAGATTTTTTTTTTTTAAACAATAGTGAACTGTTGCGTTCTTTCTCTCTTGTGGAGGGCTTTTCCTCACCTGTCACACTGTAGCTCGGGCGGCCAGGTGATGCCAAAGACTCGGACGTCCTCCTCGCAGTCCGACACGACGGACTCGCACCGCTCTCTGCATGGACGGATCACCTTGTTGTCCTCGCTGCATGCTGGGACAAAGGCTTGGCACAGGAAGTGGTGGACGTCTGGAGAGCAGGGCAGCCCAGCTAGGGGCATGAACGGCTGGGGAGGAGAGAGAGTAGTCACGTTTCCCTGAGGTCGGGTGGGGGTGGGGGGGGGTCCGCACTGGACATTGATCGGGAATAACAGATTCAGGCGATGTGCTTTCAGATTAGATTTGAACACTGTTTGAAAACATGATCATGTCAGGCCCACAGAAGTAATATCTCATTTTTTCCTGAGGAAAAACTGGACCAATTGAATTTCGCCTCTTAAGGCCTTAACTTCATTTTGTTGATCGGCAGCGATACATCGCGCCACACAAAGACGCCCATTCACTGGCTGGGACCCATATTCTTCCTTTTCAACGCGATCGTGGAAAGCATGAGGGGCGAGACGCCGAGGGAGGGGGGTTATATGTGGCAGGATGTGACTGCTCGGGCATTTGGAAACACACAACCAGCGGCCGGGTGGGCTGGAATGCACTGAGCTGTTGATAAGTTACTCTCCTGCTGAGCCACTGTGTTAGTGGATCCGCTACACAACGTGTGGATTTATCCGCGGCGCACCCCGAGGACGACTTGATTCCAGTTAAAACAGGTCCAGATCACGTCCGCGCCCATGTTTCTAAATACTTGGGGTTTTCGTTAAGTGTATATTCTATATCGTTATTATCAGCCAGTCTACTTTGTTGACTCAGAACCGCGCCGAGACCACATGGGACGTTTTAGTAGCCGAGCGAGACTTTGTCTTAACCTCATCGACCATTATCAGACCAACGGGCACGGACCACCAGCCCATACAGCTAATATTTGTACACAAAACAAACGCATACATTCCAACACAGTCCACTATTCAGCGCTTCCCCTGCACTTTTTTTCCTCCTGAAATGCAGCCTGGCAGCGGGCCTGTGTCTCTGGGGCCCCGGCTCGCCCCCTCTGACAGTAAGCGTCCTTGTTTCTCGACAGCGGAGGTCCTGGACTCCTCCTCAAGTCCTCCCCATTGCTCAACAATCTGACCTTTATTTGCTTTGCGCAGAGTTACTGTAAAAACTGCCCTCAATTCAGCAGCGGGAAGTTTTGCGGATTCGGCCCCTTAAAAAAACAAAAGGAAAATCCTATTAAGTATTTCAAGGATTAAAAAATGGACAGAAAATCACTTTTACAAACTTTTACTGCTTTTGTTGTTTTTACTTTTGTTCCTTGTACGTACAGTACTTCAATTACTCATTCGCATTTGGACGCTTTGACTTTTGTGAGTTTAAAAGCTGGCACACACAATGGAGGAATCGGGGACCAGGGGCGGAAAAAAGGTTATCCCTCCTCCGGGAAATCCGCCTGATAGGCCGGACTGATCCCACAACGAAGCCCAAGTCTGCTTGACTACAGACTTTTGTGATAAACCACTGCGCGCTTTCTGACGGGACTCGTGGGGCGTAGGCCAGAGCGTGCGAGCGCGTCACCTGGGAGACGCGGCCGCAGAGGTAACACCGTGTACATGGGGAGGGGGGGAGGGTGAGTGATTAACAGAGAGAATACTTGTTGCGGTATGCCGGAAAGGCTTTTTGTGTGAGAGGCTGGGTGTGGCCCTCCCCTTCCTCCAGGAACCCAAGGCCCCTCACAACAAAGTCCAGGCAGAATAGCTCGCTGGCGGGCAGCTACGACAACCGACTCGCTGACCAGCAAGCAAAGCAAAGCGCTTCACTGAATAACCCGCAAGGCAGAATAGGTGACTGAATAGCTCACTCACTATCAAGCACAGCGAAATGGTAAATAGCTGAAGGACGAGCAGCAGCAAACACAGCAGTTTCGGGTGCGACAACAGACGCAGAGCCGGCAGGCACATATTTACGTCCTGCGTTAGCAGTTCCCTTCCAGCGGAAACTGGAGCGCCCGCCACGCCGCGGGCTCGCCGGTTCCTTCGCGGGGGACGCTGGGTGTGGCCCCTCTCCTTCCTCCGCCAATCAAAAGGCCCCTCACAACAAAGTCGGCAAAGGTGCCGGCGGCCAAGGTTGCCTGCTGTGAAATAGGAAGCCTCTACCTTTGCCAGATGCCACACAAAAGACTCCTTCAACAGATCGCGGTTCACGCTCAACACTCTGACACCAAATGTGTGTAACTGGAGCCTGGAATGCCGGGGCCCTTAATGCATCCCTGCAGATATCCAGTTCACAGCTGAGGAGAGACACTAGTCAACACTGGAATTGTCCTCTCATTGTAGCAAAATACGAAGAAGTCTTTAAATCTCTAGAATGAATCTGCTTTTCTTGTTAAAGTAGCCTTAACTTTAGGTTCCAGTGGGAAGATATTCCTTTTCCACACACGGTGCGACGTTGATTAAAACCCAGTTATGACAACAGAGAATTCCACGCAAGACTATAGATTCATGGTTACCCTGTTTACAACAATACTATGCAACAGTATATTAACATCTGGAACAACCAGGCAGGAATTGTTGTTGAACTGTGGCTGGTGAATCGTGTTTTCCTGTTCATGACCATCATAAGACAGTCAAAGTGGCTCAATGTGCGCATCTGAAGGGTAACGAACACTGATCATTTCTACACTAAAGCCACTCACTCATATTCATTAATAACAGCACAGTCATAAAACATGTGACCTATAATGTTATTTATAAGCAGACAAAGCTGATGTAATTGTAAATCCATGGAAAACTGTGAATAATGATTCGTTCTTTAAAATATGGGTCAACAGCTGTGAAAACCCCTTAAAATGAAGTTTCCCCCTTAAAGCTCTTTAATTGTGGGAACATAAACTCTTTCCCGACTGTATGACAGCATCACAGATTGAATCAATATCCGTGTGCTCCACTTCCCCCTCAGAGCTCAAACCTCATATTCGGAATGTTATTCTTGGGACGGCCGCTAGTATTTAAACTATGAAAGAAGCCGGATCCAATCTGTTGGGTCTTTAAATTAAGAGTGGAAGAAAAAAACAAAAAAAACAATTCAAACAATTTTCAAAAAATGAAAATGTAACAGCATATTTTACAAACTGCCATTCCATAAATAAAATAAGTAAACATAAAGTTTGTTGGCTAATTCCCGACCAGGCCATAATTAGCACGAGGAGGACTCACCGTCATAGCAGCTTCTGCAATGTCTTGGTCGTAGTGCTCCATCATGTTGGGGAAGTAGGTCATGTTGTAGGTCAACCCCAGGCAGCGGTGCACTCTGATGGGCTCGCAGGTAAACAGGCTGTGGGCCCTGCAGCTTCCCACCCACACCAGACACACGCACGCCAACAGCGGCCCGGGCATCGGCATCGCTACGGCTGATTGGAAGTGTGTGTGTGTGTGTGTGTGTGGAGTAGAACAGGATTCTTTTTGGTATCCTGGCCCCAATGTTGAATTCCCCCCCCGGCTCAAACGGTCATCCACATTTGACCTGGGGTCACGTCAGTGGAGCCCACGGGCAGAGCAGCAGGTTTCCCATCATTGGTCAGCATGTGCCTCTGGCTCACAGAATGGAATCGCGTATCCCTGGAAATAAAGTACTTATATTAAAAACAAGCAACGCCTTCAGCGGCCACAACACATGAACTTGTTTTGGAGCACAAATTCACCCCACATTTGATGAAGATTTGTCTTCAGGAACCTCAGCTGAGAAGTGGTTATTACTGCATTTAGCACAGAATTATAGAGGAGACACACAGTCCCATCATCAAAGCATCAAACGACCTCTAATTGTGCTCATCACCTAAAGGACCAAATCAAGCTCAACAAAAGGAACAGGAAGGTGAATCGAGCATTTTTCGGTCGGCACCTCTACACTGAGGTCCTGGAGCTCCAGTTTGGAGACACACAAGTGAAATGCAAGTAGGGGGACTGAGATCCAGCGAATCCTCTTGGTGGATTCACTTAGTAAGTGAGTGGGGAAGGAGGAGAGCCGGGCCCGTTCAGCGGAATGAGTCTCAGCTTGTTGACCACAAATCCTCTGGATACAAAAGCGGAGTAGCAGTAGTTTCGGGCCACACATTTTGCGTCATTTTAGAGAATAAAGACATTTAAGTCCGTGCTTGAATTGCAGATGATTTATCACATGCTGATAGTTTATCTAATATTACAGCTGTTTATGTTAAGTGGCCACATTCAACAATGCTTACTGTGCACAGTGAGCAGCGGTTAGTTAACGTGAGTTACGTGAGTTGTGTTATTAGCATAAGACTTTCGGTTAGCATGTTAGCAGCGATTAAAGGAGACAGTAAAGTTGACACTTTTCACCAGCACTTCACGTAACAAGCGCACACGAACGTGTAAGTAAAATGTAGTAAGCGGGTTTATTACACGGGACTTTGGTTGGCGTTTCCCTTTGAGTTAAACGCTGTAAAGAGAATGGAAGTCCATCGCGGGCAGGAAAGACATTTTCCCGAAAATTAAAGACGCCAAAGGCGGCGCGAGCGTCCGGTGAACGTCGCAACAGGCGCGACTCGCGAAAACAAACCTCTGTACGAGAAAGTAAACACAACCAACTAGGCGTGTAGCGCACGAACCGCGAGCACTCACCACACACCGCCCGGCGGTCCGTGTAGCGAGCGGCTGCGTGAAGGCCGGCGGGGGTCCGTGCGCGCAGAGTCCGCGGCGTGTTTCCTTCTCTCCGTCTCTGCGGTGAAGTCAAGACGCCTTCACGGGCGTTCGGGAATGTCGCTTGTTTGTTGTGGCCCGGTGTGAGACCGCAACACCCTGGCGTTGTCTAACGTGTCGTACACCCGAACGCTCCGACTGGAAAACGTTAAAAGTGAAATGAAAAAAAACGTCTTCGTTGTAAATTAACGCAGCGGGGCGCGTGAATACACCGCGCTGTAGCAGGAGGGTGGTTTGACGTTTGCCCGTGAACGCAACGCCTGAGAAGACGGGACACACAAACGATGGGACACCAGGAGGCCAAATGTCAGGGAGACACAATGCAAGGAATTCCCCAAATAGAAAAACTGAATGTGAAAGTGTAACAGCAGTTTATTTCATAAAGTTAACGTTTCTATTGACTACTTTTCTTTGGCGGACTCCCTCCCCCATAATCCATATCAGCAGCAGGCCCCGTCCTTTGATGAGTATTTGCCGTTTTGATAAACACCGCATGATGTGAGATATCCATGAGGAAATACAGCCACACAATGTGACACAGGCTATGAAATGATAACGGCTTTAATAAACAGACCATTATAAGCTGCTTTTTCGTATAACGCATTTGTGGAGGAGCCACCAATTACAGCCACCTCTTCCTCGTGTACTGCGGGGGATCCTACGAGGACCCCTGGGGTCCCCTGCAGGGGCGCATCGCCAACGTACCGGCATTCAAACAGCTCGCCGTGTCCCAATTATCCAGCTGGGGGCGCTGCATCCCCCTCCGTGTGCACATTCATGTGACTGCCGCGTAGAGGCGGGGTTATAATGTAACAATTTAGGAGCTACAGTGTAGCCAATAAAGTGCCCGCGACAACCGAGCGCATCTGCTCGCCGGTGCGCCCTTCTCTCCCCCCCTCGCCCTGGATGGGAAAAGAGACCAACGCCGACCTCGGACATCGGATGACATTTGTTACGGAGGCGCAGCCGGAGGGGGACGGGACTGGATCACAACGCATTCGTATGAGGTGCGTAAGCTCGTGGCACATTAAGACCAGGGAGAGAGGGAGAGAGGGAGAGAGGGGAGGGAGGGATAGTGGAATACAGCAGATTCCTGCCAATCCGCAAGGTGCTCTGTGTGCATGTGCCCGTGGATTGTCTGCGTGCGCCATGTGATGGATGCACAAGGATCATTCTGCTCGTGGACGAAGGCGGTTGTTCGCCACCCGCACAGTTTGTGGAGCGAGGCGCTGGCTTGTTGTTAGGAGACCTTTTGACAGCTGGGGGAGCTTTTGGGAAGTGATAGTTAGGCTAATCCATTAGTGGGGTTTCTGTTTTTCTGGCAACCCAAACCTTCCCTAAATCCCCCCCCCCCCCCCTCCTCCCTCCCCCTTCCCTCTCATGTCCAGTTCGTTTTGCGCTGTGGATAAATGTCCTCTTATGCGTGAAAAGACATTTTTAGCACTGTGTTTATTTCTAGTCTGGAGATTTCAGAAGGAAACAATGTTGTCTTCATCAGATCGTAGAGATATCCATATTTATAGATCATTTCCATCTTTTCTGTGGTCAGTATCATATCACAGAAATGCAAAAGAATCCCATGGTGTGGCACGTGTTGCTGAATATAATGGCATTTGCGATTTACAAGCTTCCTACTGGGGACGTTTATAGACACGAAGATATAGAGGGAGATCTCCAACGACAAATAGAGAGAAAGGATATCAGTCCTGATTGGCTCCTGTGGTGTATGAGATTTGATAACGAGCGTATTTGCTTTGTTTCTCTGTTAGAACCACACCGTCAAAAGCATATAGAAGCAGAAACACGCAATGTGTGTTTTGGGTCTTTGGACTCAGGACCTTAGGGGCCTTCTCCCCTTCATCAGTCAGGAGCAGCTGCCCACGCCCATTCGTCTGAAGGTCACTCGTGAACAGATCGATAACTAGATCTCGCGCACTAGATCTAGAACACTCTCAAGAGTAGCCAGTGTTACACTCGGCCCTGCCTGTGCGCACTTAAGGCGAACCACACACATAAATACACACACACACACACACATACAGGCTGCTTCATATAAAACCCGCACACATTCTGGGGCGAGCGAGAAGCATTATGAATCACAGGAACCAGGGCAGCTTGATGTCAGTCCATCCGCGTCTACCTCTGGTTCCCTGTTGTGCTTCTGGGTATTATCTCTCAGGAGTATCAGATGCAGGTGTGTCTCACATCGTGTGAAGGTTGTAGCTACCCCAGAGGGACTTGGTGTGATTTGGACTCCGAGCTTGTTTGTAGAAGCGTCGAGCGTTGTTTATCCCCGTCTATGAGAGTCGAATATGCTGCCTGCGGCTGTCACGGCGGCGACGCTGCACACAAAAAGGGCTCTGAAGAACAGCTTTGACAATTGACAAAGTCAAGGCCGGGACCCGGGGAGAGAAGGAACAAGTCAGCATCAGGCTTGACGGGCGGTCGCATCCCCCTTCACACGGCGCACAGGAGGCTGTCACAGCGCGGCCGTGGATGGATGAGTGAAGCTGACGTGCTGTTCCGTCCTGTCAGGCTGATGTATGTCCCCAGAGAGGAGACCGCAGTCCCCAGGAGCCACATAGCACCTCTCCCACACCTCCACCGCCACCTCCTCTTCTGTTGTCCGGCAACATGCCTTCTGAACCCAGCCTCAGGTAAGGGGCCTGGTTCGTCCATATACTGCACAAGGCTTATGCCGAAATGTTAGTCGGTGCACATGCATTGACAAATGTCAGCAAAGACTTGCATGCTCATGTCTTCCTGTTGTTTAGGCTGTAACCTGAGGAAGATCCATGTCTTCCGTCCGGTGTGTGTGGCTCCCTTTCGTTCACATGTAATGGAGGTTTCACTAGGGATCCATCTAGGTACTTTCTAGTGACACAACAGTTAAAAATCAACAAAAAAAGCTGATTATGGATATTATCTTCACCAAAAAAAAAAGCAAATAGTTCAACTTAAAACAGCAGGATAGCTGCTTTAATCGGCCATAATTCTGTATTTACTGAGGATTATTTTCAGCTGTGGGTATGGTGCAGTATTTACACCAGCAGGATTGTGCCTGTGGGATTGACTCCAAATAAGCTGCAGTGCCCATGAAACATGCGATTTATGTGTGCACAGATCAAGATTTTCCAAATGTCAACGCGTTGGTGGTTTTCATCAGCTACCGTGAATCTCTCCAGAGTCAGCAGGACAAAGACCATGCTGCCATCACACTGCGGCTTGAAAGTGGTTATCTTCTTAGTAGTATTAAGCCTAGGGGGACAGTTGTATTATGTGCGGGGCGGCTTAGGATCAGGGGGCTGTCCTGTAATCACAAGGTTGGAAGTTTGATCCCTTCTGTCTGCATGTGGAAGTGTCCTTCAGCGAGACGCTGAAGCCCAAGCTGCTTCCCTTTTTGCACAGGGGAGCGAAACATCAGCCCACTGCTGCCACAAACACTTAGAATGAGGTAAATGCAGAGGTCAAATACCATTGTTGTATGCAGTGCTGCAGTGGTAAAATTGAATTACCACTAAACTCTGAATTTTGTGATCATACAGACCTCGACGCGATGCGAAGCAACGCAACACAAAGCGTTGCGACTCCGTAAGGCTGTCCTGGCTATATTACATTATGTTATCAGTAAAAGCCATATACAATCAATGACAATGAATACATGTGTTAGTAGTTTGTAGTTTATTACATTTAAGAAAACAGTAAAGAAAAGTATGTCAACACAACACAACAACACAATTGCAGATTAAGAACTATCTACATACGGAGTCTCCTTTTTACAGTAGTGCCCAGAGGGCCTCCTTGTCCTCCACGTCAGGTCCTGCCTTGCACAGATATAGAAAAAATATGTTGAATTTAAGAGTTAACCAGTTAAGCAGCCTGTCAATTACACTGACAACATGAGTTAAAGGAACACTCATGTACTACCTATGTCATCATAAATAGCCTATACAGCACGTTTTTTTTTTCACATTGAGAACTGACTTGTTTTCTAATCTACGCGTCATCAGGCGTTTTTCTTTTACCGTGCACGACCAGCGAACACAGAGCGCGCGACTACTACACCCCCCCCAACGTGTGTTTACACACCTCCTGGATCCTGATTGGTGTCGCTGCTGCAGCCGCAAGGCACTGATTGGATGGTCACAGACCGTAACACAGCGCAGATGCAAATGATTCAGACTACGGCGTTTATATGTTCAACAATAGGAAACGTAGTCTTAGCTGTTTTAAAATTACACCAAGTTTATTTCGGATTATTCGGAAGAATACAAGGCGCAGGGAACTTTGAGGTGCGTAAACGCTATTTATAGGTGCATTAACGCTATTTCCAAATTCTAGAGGTGCGTAAACGGCGTTTACGTGCGTGTACCCTCCACTACAGCCCTGGTTGTATGAATATGATATGATAAAAAGAGAAGCTATTTGTTGTATCATGCAAAACCTTTATCAGCAAATGGTGCATAAAAAGTTGACCTTTTGCCTGTTATATTTCTTTTTCATTATGCACGGTACATTACAGACTATAGCTTCAAACGGATGAATGCTGTAAAACAATATTTTCATTTTCATGTCAGTTGTTTTCAGAGCTTCCATCATCCCCATCGGCTTCTCTTAGTTGCTAACTGCCGTAATTTCCCTCCCTTCTTACCCTACACAGCAGTTTTGTCCTCTTCTCTCTGGGCCCTTCCCTTCCCCGGCAGTATCCAACAGCCTGACTCATCACTCATGCTACCTCTGGCCCGTAGCGCGCACACATGCACCCACCCACCCACGTCAGCCATTATTTCCTCTGTTTTACCGTGAAGGTGAAAGAGCAGGCCCGCTTTGCAGACAGCAGCATTTAGAGTGGCAGCTGACACTGTAAGGGCACAGACACTCAGGTGGACACGGCGTCATTACATTACATGTCATTTAGCTGACGCTTTTACCCAAAGCGACTTACATTGCATTGATAACCATAACCATTTTTGCCTGGGGAGCAATTAGGGGTTAGGTGTCTTGGGTGTAAACCGATGTAAGCCGGGAATAACCGGTTATATTCGCTGCACAATGGGTCCCACACAGTCAGTTGGTTCTGTGGCTAAACAATCTGAGAACACGATATGGGGCAGAAAGTGTTGGGTCGTATTAGAAATGTCGTTCCTTCATTTCATTGCATTCTTGGTACAATATCAAATATGAAAAAGTATAATATAAGTGCAGCTACACACCTTGTGCATATAAAAAATTACCGTACCTTTAACTTTGCTTACTGTTATAACAGAGCTGCCAACTTTTCAAAGAACCTTGGAGTGAGATTTTGTCGGGGGTGACCAAAATCTTGCCGCGCGCGCAGCCACACACGTTGGTGGCTCAAATATCAGGAAATTGGAATCCATTTGGCGTAGTACCCATGTTGTACCCTGCATTCTGGTGCTTTGTGGGGCCAAAGTCTTGATAGGGGCGGCCTACTGGAGATGGACAACATCCTGTGAAGCAAAGACATAGCTGAAGGTCCACCCCCAGGACATTTGGGTTTAAGTAGATGTTATTTCATGCATTCTAGTGGATTTTTGGGTGGTATGCCTGAACTTATTCTGATTCATGTTCATCTTCTCATGACTTGTGGGGCCTTCTAGACTTGAGCTGGACATTCAACCAGAAAACTATTGCTGTGCCTCAATGACTGTCTATGTACCACAATATAGCTATATTGCCTAATAAAAAGACCTGTGTTAAGATTTGACCAATTTAGGTTGATTGACATTTTGATTACAATGGTATTCAACCAATTCTTAAATGAAAACTAACCTATATTGTTAATAATTGTATTCTTAAGAGCACTTAATGATTTATGTTCAGCAAAAAATGACAAGTTTAGTTAGGGAAAAATATTTTTCATTATCAAACAAAAAAGTGCAACAAATAAAGTGCTTAAAGTGCTTAAACAGTAGCCTTTCAAAGCAAAACAATGTATACACATAATATAAATACACATAAATAAAACAAAAATGAGGTATTAAGAAGGAGATCAGAAGCTGGTTAGTAATTTATTTACTAAGCATTGTTTATTAAGGTTGCTCACAGTGAGCAATTCTATGATGTTTTCAGCGTGCAGTATACCAAGAGGCTTGTTATGACAGCTTACATTCACCACTCAAAATCACACTCACAAACACAACTAATAATTTCTTTCCAGATTTAAAGCTTAAGAGAGTGAGTACTTAATTGAACCACATGTCATTAACGTACCTTAGTCTTTGCTCCTCCTGAGTGTCTGTTTGAAAACCTTCTTCTGTTGCTGACTTCGGGACTCTTTGGGGTAAATAGGATGTCTATGCAGCGAATAGGTTTACAGATGCGCTCCTTAGCGCCATCTATCGTCGGGGAGTTTGAAAAGGAACGAACGCGCTTCGGCCCAAAATCAGAATTTTTTTTTTTGCCGTGAGAAATTGGTTGTGTGGCGTGAGTGCGTGTGAAAACATGCAAAAGCGTGTGTCACACGGCGAAACCGTGAGAGTTGGTAGCTCTGGTTATAAACATGTGATGCTAGCACGTGCACTTTCACAGGGTTCTAGTGCGATGAAAACATTGACGTCAACATCTACGGTTTAAATTAGAATCAGTTATTTCTTTCATGAGAAACCGCTCTGCCATAAAAATATGAGAGAAGAAAATGAACTGAAATCTCAGTTCAGAGCAGACTGAAGCTCTAGAGAGCTAAATGCTAACGCCAGAGTGGCAACACGCTTAACATGGCCATGCTAATGCTGCCGTTAAGCTGTAAACCGTTGTAGCCGTTAGCATGCTAACATTTTCTAAATGGCCAATTTCATTGCTATTAATCCAACTGTTGTTGAGATATTGGGAATTTTGCAAGACTTCCTGATTAATGAAGTAATTGCTAGAGTGATCTAGCAGAAGTAGTGCTATTCATTTGTAAGATATTATTCCAAATGGTATTGTTAGTGTTATTATTAATAGAACCAGAGCTTTATCTTATCAACAAGCTCAGCGCAAACAAATGTTATGTGTGTGTGTGTGTGTGTGTGTGTAGCAGCAGGGAGATGCTGACAGGACAGAGGCTCTGTCAGTCAAAGTCCCACCAGGACTCGGTCCTCGCTGCCCTGAACCAGCAGAGGAAGGACGGCCTGCTGTGTGACGTCACCCTGGTCGCCGGCGAGCAGAAGTTCCACGCCCACAAAGCCGTCCTGGCAGCGTGCAGTGATTACTTCAGGGTGAGTCCTGTACCACGTGGTCTACTCTGAAAATGCATCTGTTTGATGAATGAGTCTGTTGGATGATCTGTCGTTATAATTAAACCCCTTGCTTTAGTCTTTCATGCGCTTCATGGTTGGACTGATTTAAATATGCTGATGTGATAGAGGTGACATTGCCAACCGGGTTCCACGCTACCAACAAGAAAAAAAGATCTTGGAGAAACTCAATTTTGATACCGTGCAAATAGTGATGTTTGCACATGTGTTTGGTAAAACCTTTTTCGGCCGAGATTAAACGTGCTACAGCAGATCGTCCTTCCCCGTGCTGCACCTGGATGCTTCCCCAGTGTCTGGCTGCAGTCTGACCATGGGAGTTAAGGGAGGTGGCTTTGCGATAGACGCACGCTGTCAGACGGCCAGACAGGAGATTTGCCGAGATGGCCCGCACGGGGAAAAGTGCACCGATGAGATCTGATTCGGGGAAACCGAGCAGATCAGCAAGTAGAAATAATCCCTCCTGAATATGAGCGACAGATTAAAAATGTCCAAGTTGTCCGGGGATTATTTCTCCTCCTGTGTGTGTGTGTGTGTGTGTGTGCGTAGGTTATTTTTACTCGTCTCAGCAGAGAGTTGAAGGTGGGCGACTCGCACTCCTCTCCTTGCTTTATCTTTGTCCTGTTCGCTATTGCTCTGCCTTTCATTTTAATTAGTTTCTTTAACTGACGCACCTTAATGTCCGAGCTGAGTCGAGCAACGCTGTTGTTCCAGCACACACGGATTATTAGATCAGCCTGCTACAGTGAGCAGGGAAAGTCACTCTGCCCCCCTATTCCTCTGTGGGGGCCTCACAACATTATCATCAGTTTGTCATTTGACTCCACCGCTGGGGTTTCGTTTCCCTCATTTTCTGGGGAGATGAAAGTATCTGGCTTTGTGAATATTGACTGTGTGTTTTCTTTCTCTCTCTCTGTATGGGCCTCACACTCAGAAACACACGCAGCAGGGATGATCGCACATTATCTAGTATGTTGAGGGATCGTAATGAAATACCTGACCAAGCGTGAGTTGTTTACCTGAGACTCGTCCTGAACGTGTCACCTGCCACTTCCAATGCCATCAAGTCACTAAGAGGTCCGAACGGCTCGGCTAAGATCAGTCACACCAGCGACACGCAGCAGCCTCAGGGAGAACACAAACACGCCCACTGAATCTCTCTTTTTTTTTTGCTCATACAGACGATTCTTTTTCTAAGAGCCCTGCAGGCGAGAGAGAACTCGTCTCAAACGCTGTTATTGTCTGGAACGCTGTATGCCAAACCTGTCCGATGCAGAACTCTGTAATCACTTTAATCTCTTCGTGGGGACAGGCCTGTATCAAGATGGACTATGCAGTACTCCACCATCAGTCCTCTCCAATGTCGCTTGATTTGATAATGCCCCACTTTGAATTGATCCGAAGGTAATCTGCCCGTGAACGGAGACATTCAGCCGTACATTCAGTGGTCCATAGAAAACGTTTTTCCTTCCAGACATTTAATGGAGAATAAAAAAAACAAAAAAACATGGTTTCAAACTGGTTTTCTTTGGATTACTTGAGAAACACCAGTTTGATAGAACAACACTAGGATGTAAATGAAGAATTGGCTGAGCCCTGCTTTACCTGCTTTATGGGTTCTTGATTTACCTTAATTTTCCCGTTTTGACACAAGCTCAGCTTAAAAACTGCAGTTTAGGGCTTGGAGACACCTGAGAGAAGGGACATTTGTAAAATATCGACAGTCATGCAGTTTGAAATATTCTTGTTGGTATAATATTTAAGTGGGACTTCAATGGTTGATTGATTAAATGATGTATTTTTTCGAGAGACAGCCCACGTCCCGTGCTCGGTGTGGAGGCAGCTTGTCTAACTTGCATTCCTCTGGATCTGTGCGGACTCTGGAGGGTTTGTTAGCCTGACGACGGTAAAACAGTGCGCGTATGTTGTTTCTGTTTTTTGTTATGATGTCAGAGAAGAATGTGTGTGTGTGTTTATGTGTCTCGTGTGATGCATTTCTGCAGCATTCATGCTGGAGGCCACCAGCTCTCAGGGTGCTCCCTCTCAGCCTCACGGTTCACCCACATCACAGGAGCAACCATGCAGAAGCAGTCCCTCTATTTACATGTTTCACTTTCTGCCTGCTTAACCCTCACGCACTCACACACACACACACACACATCAGGTTCAGCCCCCGGCCCTCCTTTGCTCGGCCGCCCGTTGGATTTTTAATTAGCGCAGCGGTGAATCGACAGGGCCGAGCTCTGAGGAGAGATGCGCAGGCCTCGGTTAAAGCTCAGCCGTGCCCTCGAGTCGACCCCGTCTCTCACAGCACCTCTCGCAACACACATGGGCCCCTTCGTCAGAGGAAGGGGGGGGGGGGGGGGTTGTGGCGCCTCTTTAAAGTTCATGGGTGCTGTGCTTCAGGGAAGAATCCGATGAGTTCTGGGACGAAGTGAAAGTTGTTTCTCGCGATGGAAAGAGACGCTTTGCTAGCTGGCCCGAGGCTCTCTACGCTGTTACACACCAAGCCTCCGGGTTGAGACGGTGCTGAGTGACGTGAACTTGGGAGCTCAGATCACTGTCCTGAGACGCGGTTACCGTGGAGAGAGAAATTGTCTAAAGCAGCTGGATTTACTTTTCATAAGCAATTCATTCCCCCACAATAATATGAACCCTACAGGCTCCATGACCTTGAGAAGACGGTCAGAGCAGATCTTCGTTGCGCCCCCGTCGCCCTGAGTGCGCGCACTGATGATCCACGGCTCCGTGCTCCGTCCCGCTGCTTTTATTTTGAGTGCGTGTGTTGTGCACGTGCACAAGCGTGCAGGCGTGTTTGTGCGCGTTCCTGCGCATGTGAAAGTAGTGATTGTGCTAATTATTTCTGCTTACCTCCGGGCGCCCAGGCAGGCCAATCGATACAGAAAGGGCCCGAGGACGTTGCGTCTGGCAGGTTTAGATGGACCGTGATGCTGTTTTCATCAGCATGTGCACATGCAAACGCAATTTCTCAGTCTGTCAATGCTGTAACAAGTTACATTTATATATATATATATATATATATATATATATGTAATACCAGACACCAAATGGCAGATACAATGTCTCTGTGTTGGTGTTTGTGTCTTCAGGCTATGTTCAGCCTGTGCATGGTGGAGAGTGAGGCAGACGAGGTGACTCTGCAAGGGGTGACCGGCGTTGGACTGAAGCACGCTTTGGACTTCGCCTACACTGGGCAGGTGAGCACTAGAACCCGTCAGCACAGCCGACCCAACCAGCCCCTTTCCCCTGGGGCTTTGTTGGGATATGTATTTACTTCATCAAGAGCGATGCATCCTACTTTATAAACAGAATAGTTTGCATGTAAAAACCCATTCACGGTTATACTGTAAGACATACTGTAGTGGAGTAATACCTGGACAGAGAATATATAGTATTGTTTACATATCAGAGCTTAGCCATCGCAATGTCGAGAGCAATGTGGAGGCAACAAAAGTGCTCTGAATTGAATGCAAAGAATCTTCAAGCAACTGGAGCTTATTATCAGAGTTGTATTTACCATTAAAATGCAGTGTTAAAGACAAAATGGAACTATTCAACTGGTTTGAGTTGAATGATTTAGTATAATTATCATTAGCATTATTATCATTACACGTTACAGTAGGTTTCACCATTGCCAAATATGTCACCAAAAATAAATCACAACAGGGCATTCGCAGATTAGCACTTTAATCGTGGCAGCAGGGACTTCCAGGCGTCGTGCCTTCGGATACATTGTGATCCAGCTGTTTGCAGGTGATGTCATCCCTCTGCCCTCTGTGCTCACACGGCTCAATGTCATTCTGGGATCCAAACAACAAAAACACAGATTCAAGGAGCCAGACGTAAAGAGGGCGGCATTGCATTTCCATTGTAAAGCAGCAAGGTGGTTCTAAGGTGGTTGCGCTGGTGAGGTCACTTGTCCTCGCCTCCTCCCTTCCTCAAGAAAGCATCGTTTTTAATAACCTTTTTTTTTTTTACTTCAGTTTCCGGCGATGCTCAGTCCAAAAAGCAGCCTAGCAGCTCAGCCAGTGGACCCGAGAGGCCGGAAACTTTGTAATTACTCCTAATTTTATTTCCATAGTGGAAATGAGCAAAGAGGGAGCCGGTTAGCCAGCGTAAGTAGGTCAACAGCAGGATTGCGAGCCGCCCTGCTTTGGTTGGCTCGGAGCCTCCGTCCGCCCAGTTGAGATGATAGCAGATGAGATGAGGGCAATATGCTTATCTCCCACACCGTGAATAATGACCTACTAAAAAATCCTTCAGCCACATGTCACAGGCCGACGGGGGGGGGGGGGGGAGTCCTGGCGATGCTCTCAGCCCCGAAGTCAAGTAACTCCGCTGACATTTCCAGTGCGCGGCGAGATGACAGCGGACATCGCAACCACTTTGACAAATGCAGTGTTGTCATCCACAGACAAGACCAGGCAGTAAATCTCTGCACCCGTCCTGGTAAAGAGGGAGTGATTGTTTGTGCGCGGCTACAATGGCTCGGATCCTTGAGGAGACATTTATACTCCTACAATAAACTGGGGTTTGCATAGGAGCTCGCTGCTCTCACACTGAAGCAGCCACGCTGTCACTGGTCCTCGTGCTCTGACTGGAGTGGAAAAGAGAGCAGCGCTGTTCACAGTCACATTTGTTGGAGCTGCCAATTGAGTCCAAGAATACAAAAATACAAAATTGAGAGTTCGTCGCCCTTGATTCAGAGTTTTACTCGGCGGGATAAATGCGCTGATGCAGCTAACTGCAGAAAGGAAATGAAAAGGAGGGAACAACTTCCAATGATCTGTTTGCATGAATGCTGAAGTGGGTAAATAGTCATGTTTTTTTTCTTATAGTTATAGTAGATAAACCTGCACATTTTCGATACAGATTTGTTCTGTCTGGATTCAGATCAGGAGCTGCCTTTTCGTGATCTCAAAAATCCCCCAAAAGGCCTGAGTCATAAAATGATACCCGGGAAAGCTGCATGACCATATTCCCGACCACTGAGAGGCGAGGGAGGGAAATGATGAAGTCGGCTCTGTAGCTATGTGGGGCAGCGCTGCTCAATGGATTATCAAAGGTTTGTCCCTGCCCTTTGAAAGCAAAGCACATCTTATTTGGAGTGAATCCGCCGTGTTAGAGGCAACCCGGGGCATGTTTAGTCTGATTGGGTTAATATTCCAATGATTCAGAGAACATTTAACTCCATGTGGTTTTGGTTTGTGTGCTGGGAATAGAATAAAAAAAAGAGGCGGCTAAGCCTCCATCGAGTACACAATGTGCTCCCTGGCACTGTCAGGTGGCTGTATTACGCAGCTTTATGTTTCATATGGGTGGGTAATATGGAGGAGACAGAAGGAGGCTTTTCAGCAGATCATTTGAGCTGCTATTCTGTCAGCTCAACAGGAGGCGTTTTGGCAGAATCAGTGCAGAAATACCAGCCGGAAAATGCGCAAGAGCAATTCTTGCTCGTTGGACCGAGTCCGTCACAATTATTCGCCTCGTCTCTACTTCACCATGCAACATATTTTAAATAACCTGAGTCACATAACCTAACAGAGTTCTCAGAGAAATAAAAAAAAGATTTAGAGGACAGTGCCTGGCTTAGCCAGGTGTTTAAACAGGTCACACTGCTCATATTATTAAGAAAACATATTTAGGGCCCCCACACAGACAACGCCGCAGAGGGACCTCTTGTATTTGTATTTAAAGCAACAAACTCCTCCTACGTAAAGTATTGGATAGACCACAAAATTGGTCTGTACAATCTAAAAACCTTAGTGATTTAAATGTATAAAAATCTTGTTGTTTGGTGGAAGGCGTGTGGCCGCGGCGACGCACTTTTCGTCATGTAAACAAAGGGGTTTTTTGGGCTTAAAGTTTCTGGTGACTCAGGTCGAGCTGTTCCGTAAGCGCGAGTTCAGGTTCCACTTACAGCCTGAACTGCTTTCTTGTGTAACTTTCTTTAAGTACTGAAAGATGTTTAAGTCATTTGCATTTACAGACAGTCTGTTCTGTTACAAAAACTAGAGCACATTCACACATGTTACATTTACATGACATTTACACTCTTGCTCGCCCTTGTTATAGAGCTGATGCATGTTGTCTAGCGCCACACGGTGGATACAGGGAGTGGTGGGACGTTCAAAGCATCATTTGCAGCATCACTCTGTGCAGTTAACGAAGACTAACTCAGGGACGCATTCTCGGCCACGTTTGTAGTCGTCTGATCAGTGATTCAGTTTTTCAGAACTTTAAAATAGCCCCAAATACTCTCTGTTTGAGACAGATAGGCGCTGCTCAAACAAAGTCTTTAAAATATAATACATTTAGAAAATAAACCCAAATACCTGAAACAATATATAAAGTTAATAGTTTTACTTGCATGTATGACAAAGAAAAGTAAAAAACACTTATTTGAGGAGCTGGAGTTTGGTGTTTATGCTTCACAATCAAACAGTCAATTAATATTCAGAAATCAGAGTCACTTAATCACTGGCATCATGAGGCCAAACAGGGAAAAGGATTTGTTACTTTTGCTGTGAAAAAACAAATACCAACTTTCTGTTGGTGTTAAAAGAAAAGTATTACTATGCCCTGAATATCTGTATCAAAAGTCATGGATATCCGTTACATCCGAACCAAAGTCCAACCGACGTTGTGTCGACCCACTCTGTGAGAAAAACATTCTCAACTATTGATATCTCCATGAAGTTATTATTATTATTATTAATATATGTTGATAATGATCCTGATAATGAACTGCAACCCAACTGCAGTGAATGACCCTGCTTATCTGTGGGCAGATCCTGTTGGAGCCAGCGGCGATCCAGGACGTCCTGTCTGCAGGCAGCCACCTGCAGCTGCTGGAGCTACTCAGTCTCTGCTCCCACTACCTCATCCAGGTAAACTCGCACGCACACACATGCACGCACAAGCACACATGAGCACGCACAAACGCACACTCACATACAGGTCAGGTTAATGCAAGTCCTGGAATATTATGAGTTCCACTCAATGATTTGATCCCATCTTCAGGCAACACCAAGAAAATGGACCACTATTATTTATATTCATGCGTTATTCAACTGTATCAATACCGTGTGCTTCTTTTAATTTGATATAGAGCAATGACTGAAAACCCCAAATTATTACGTGGCGGAGACAGTTAGCTTAGCACAAAGGTTGGAAACAGGGGCTAACAGCTCAGTTGAACTATTCCTACAAGTGAACATCACGCCAGTTTGGTGTCAAAAGTCACTTTGTGTGGACAAAAAGAAACAGTTGTGTCTGTTGAAATTTGACAACGTCCAATCTGTTCTCTGAAAAATAATTGTGCGAATCCTCCTCCCCCACCGGGAGGTTACAGGTCAGATGTGGCATGCTACTTAATCGGGGTGGATACCTATCAGCTAAGGTGCCTCCTGATCGAGGGCCCCCTGCTGCTTATTATTGACTGTGCTTTATTCTGTTGGATTCCTCTGAGTACGCAGCCGAAAGCTGCTGCACCTAAATCGAGTTCAGAGTTCATTGCAGAGCAGACGCACACCGAGGTGTCTGATGCTCAGTGTCTGATGCTCAGTGTCTGATGCTCAGTGTCTCCCTAGAGCCTCAATGCATTTTGCGGTGGTTTCCCATCATCACACACGGCGATAATTACATTTCATCTTGAGCGTCTTTAATCCCGGCCACCAGACATTCATGTTTTTTCATACTCTATATTGTACTCATCGACAGCAACTCAGCTCAAATGGGCCATCTGGTGGTCCAAAGGGTTTCAGCTCTGTCAGAGACTAGACTGATACTGACTATAAACTGATACAAAGCTTTGCGTCACCCTGTTCACCACTGCTTACATTGTTGTTTGCGTCAGCCGACCGCTTTACTTGGTATGTGGTTAGAGTGCATAGTGGGCGGCGAGGCCGGAACAATTACATTGATTTTCCAATACACGCAGCACCAGTTGATTGACAAGCAAATGCATCAGATCGTCCTCCTCCTCCAGCGATGTGCAGCATTCAGTGAATTGGATGTTTAATAGGTGGTTGATACTGGCCCCGCCGTGTGCAGCTCTTTAAGTTATTTGAATTGATGCTCGTGAGACATTTTGAGTCCTATGTGTGTGAGTGTGTTTTTGCTTCTAATATTCAATGAGGAACTCTTATCTAATTCGGTTTCTTGCCTGATTCGCAGATTTAAAAAAAATAAAATATGCACAACAGTCACTTATCTCTGTAAAATAGCAGTGAAATGACATTGAGTGTAAATGTTCCACTTTAAAACCGGAGGTGTATCCATGAAGGTATCGTTTCACCACAGGTTGAGCACTAGTAATGTTCTGCGTGTGCTGAAGGACGGCCAGCAGATGGCAGTCTTATTCCACCAGTCAGGCTTTGATATACTTTATTTACCTCCTTCCCTCTCTTCTATTTCTTCCCCACTGTAAACACGTTTGGCTTCTATAACAACGTCATTTAAACTATGTTATGCCCAAGTAACAAAGTCATGTGTGGCTTACAAATGTAAGTTACACATCGATCAGCAATGTAACAAATTCTTTCAAAGCCCCGGCAAAAAATGAACGAAGCCTCCTGTGAAATTGCGTAAATAATAAACACACCTTCAAAACTGAATCACAACAACCGTTCTGGTGAAATAAGCCTTCATTTCGCATGGTCTATGGATGTACCCCCGCAGGAACTGAGCAGCGTGAACTACCTGGAGCTGTACCGCGTGGCTGACCTGTTCCACCTCCCGGCCCTGGAGGAGGCCGTGGTGGGCTTCCTGGTGGAGCATCTGTCCGAGCTGAGACACAGCCGGCAGGACGAGGCCCTGCAGCTGCCCTACCGCCTCCTCAGGGAGGTGCTGAAGAGCGACCGCCTCACCTCCCTGAGCGAGGAGGAGATCTGGAAGGTACTGGGAGTCAGTGTCTGTCTGTGTGTGTGTGTGTGTGTGTCTCCCCCCCACGCCATTATGGACTTGGGGATGCAGTAAATGTTAACAAATAGCACCAACACTGCTGTGCACGCGCGTACAGCAACGTACGACACGGACCAATGAGCTGCACGATGAACGCGCCCAGCTGCTTCTCACGTCGCGCTTGCATCGGCGAGGACATGCCACAGGACCTTTTGGGCCGCGTGCGCGCCCACGCCCATGCACCCGTGCGAGCGTGCACGTGTGCATGGAGTTCGGCTTGCGGACTTACTGTTTTGACTGTTCATTTGCACCAATCAGCTTCCCCCTCCCCCTTCCCTCCCCTATTTCTTCTATTTTTCTTTCTCTCTCTCTCTGTGTCTGTCCCCCCTTCTCTTCTCTGATTAGGCCCACCGCGGCTCCATCAGGGCCCCAATCCCCCAGCTGTCACTCGGCCGCCCGTCTGATTGAAAACAATCAGGCCTCTGATGGCACAATTACCCTGACCCTTTAGCCAGCCCGCCGCCGCCATAATCAGCCTCTGATTAGGCTGCTTTGGGCCTCCTTCACTTCGCCCAGAAGGTTAATTTGGGCATCAGACGGAAGCGAACGGCGAGCGGGGGCCGTCGTCCTAAAGGGGTGGAGTGGGGGGTGGGGGGTGCACGCCAATACCACGCCGATACAGCTTGGCAGTCAATCATCGTCACTCAGGGTTTTCTTACAGACCCTCACGCTCTGGAAATCACATTTTCTCTGGCTTTGTCCCCTCCCCCCTCCCCTTTCTTGCCATCCTTCGCTGTGTCTTTCTTCCCCCCCACCCTCCCCTTACCTCTCTTCCTCACTATCTCTCTCACACACACACACACACACACACACACACACACACTCTCTTTGTGCGAAGGGGAAGGAGGGAGAAGGAGTTGATTTATTCTGTGCCCCGAGGAAGTTGCGTGATGCAGCGTGACCTTCACAGTCAGCTGCCGTAGTGCACGGGCGCACACACACACACACACACGCTCTCACTCAGAAACACACATACTGTCACTTCAGAGCAGAGAGAGGCGGGGTGAGCGCCGGAGAAAGGGAGGTGGAGACAGGAGTGTGGCACAGAGTGTATTAAAAGACAACCCTGACTTGCATGTTTTCTAGAATATTCACAACTTTAGAGCGTAATTGAGGAGAAATACAGCCAGAGTTGCTCAGCACACGCTCTGTATTTCTTCTGCATCGTGCAGCAAATGCTGCGTTTTTTGTGGCGCGATGCCGCTGGTGAGACTGATCCGGTCCGTGGTCGTCCTGGGGTGAACGCCACATTGTGCTGGTCCTCATTCTGCTGCACCACTTTCTCCATCTGTGCGCTTTGTTTTCCCCGAGATGGTATCGGTCCATCTCCAATCATCCCGCCCACGCTCACACCTCCTTGCACTAAATAACCTTTCACCGCTATCAAGTTCAATTCAATTCTCAACCCGGTCTGCATTTAACAAAGGACGGCGCCTGTGGGTATTTACGGTGTGTACATTTGTGTGCGTGTGTTTTTGTTGTGGGTGTGTGTGCGTGCAGTGCGAGCGGGCCTCAGTCTTGCCCTAATGACATAAGAGTGTAGAAAAATGAAATATGATTAGCAGCCTACGCTTGTTTCTCTCCATCCTGTTTTCGTTCTTCTGGTCTTGTGTCTCTTGTTTCTCCACCCCCCCTTTTTTGGGGACTGTGTGGAAAGTCTTGTGCAGGGAGAAGGTGGAAACGGGAGTTATCTCCTGGCCATCCCTTCACTTAGATATCACATTGCTTTGGTTTACCTTGTTCTTACTGATACTATAATAATAATAAAGGGGCAATTATCCAAAGTCAAGGGAATAAATCCTAAATATGATGATGAAACAATAACTGTTCATTGAAAAATGTTTGGTTTGGTTGACCCGTTTTTGTGAAATCACTCAGCTCTTCTTCTCCATCCGCATTCAGCTGGTCGTTCTGTGGCTGGACCACGACTGCCGACACCAGTACGCCGACGATCTGCTCCAACACGTCCGCTACGGCCTGATGGACGTCCCCACGCTGCACCACCTCGCCCGCAGCCACTCCCTGGTCCAGTCCAGCCCGACTGCCGCCGCCCTGGTGGAGGAGGCCCTGGACTACCACCACGCCACCTTCGCCCAGCCCCTCCGCCAGTCGGCCCGCACCAGGCCTCGCTTCCAGTCCCTCACCCTCTACATCGCCGGCGGGCGCAAGCGGGAGGTGAGCAGGGTCAAGGAGCTGCGCTACTTCAACCCGGCCGCGCAGGAGCACGTGCGCGTCGCCGGCGGCTCCAACTGGAGCGAGCTGGCGCCCATGCCCACCGGGCGCAGCCACCACTGCGTGGCCGTGATGGGCAACTTCCTGTTCGTGGTAGGCGGGGAGGTGGAGCACGCCACCGGGAGGACCTGCGCCGTGAGGACCGCCTGCCGATACGACTCCAGGGGGAACTGCTGGACCGACATCGCCCCCATGAAGGCCTGCAGGGAACACTTTGTGCTGGGCGTGCTGGGCCAGTTCCTGTACGCAGTGGGGGGCCGCAACGAGCTGAGGCAGGTGCTGCCCTCGGTGGAGCGCTACTGCCCCAAGAGGAACAAGTGGATGTTTGTGCAAGCCTTCGACCGCTCGCTGTCCTGCCACGCCGGCTGCGTGGCCGACAGCCTGCTCTGGGTGTCAGGTACAGGAAGGGGTGGCGGAAGGCGAGAGTCCAGATGCTCTCGTGCACGTGCATGACCTTCACCTCCAGACACACCTCTGATACGTAGTCATGGAATATGGAGTCAGACGTGTTGCTCCTTTTGTGTTGCAGGCGGGGTGACAAACACGGCTCAGTACCAGAACCGACTGATGGTGTACGACCCAGAACAGGTAACTGTGACGAATAAAAAGAATCCGCTGCGTTTTTATATCATATAAATATTCCCATAGCGTAGTATTTTACTGATGACAGTATTCCAAAGCATGAAGTAGAGTTTTGAAGCTGCTTGAATCAACCGTTCCATGTTAGCGATGGACGACGTGATGCCGTCTCACTGCTCTGATCCCACGGGGACATAGTCAGCCGTCGCCATCTTGGCTTTTTGCAACCAGACGTGACACGAGAAGATGAAGCGAAGTAGGGCAACAAACAAACACTTTTTTTTTTTGCCGACCAAAATGTTACAATTGTTTTTCATGAACTGAAAGCACACTGTAAAAATGTTAAAGTTCTGAGAGGAAAACAGCTGGGTAGAGACCTGTCAATCACAAGATAGTCCCACCCAAAGCGTAGCCTGCTGTGTGGATTACTTCAGTCTAAATAAACCTCAATAAATGAACATCAAGATGTATTTAACAAGAGGTTGAGACCACACACTCATGTTTCAGCATTATTAATAATTAGCATTATTTTTACAAACAGATGAGTTGCCCCCTGTTGGCCATTAGAGAGAATACAACTTATGGACTCTAGCATTGGCATCATTGTTTCTTGGTGTACTCCACAGACGTTTGGAGCAGCTTGCAAACCGTCATCAGGGTCCAACACAAACGCGTTGGTCAGATGTTCTCAGCACAACTCGTGTTGCTATAGTGAGAAAAAAATATCACCTTTCCTTCTTCGTGCAAGTCGGTGAATCTGTGGCTCCCACGCTATTTCAGGGCTGTAAACTTAGTTGTCAGACTTGCTTCCTTCTGTGTTACGAATGATATGTGAGCAGTTTATTTGCTTAATACTGTAACCATATTGTAATTTACAGACTGTTGTCTTCGTATCCAAAGTTGTTCACTCTTGTCTCTCACGATTTGATGATGTTGGAGTTTTCCCAAAGCTGACTGACGGGTACCCTATAGAGTTTGTGCTGTAAATACGTATAGAAAAATGTTATTACTTATTTAAATAACATATTGCTTAAAAAGAATAATTAATGATTTTGCTTCAATGCAAGAATAATGGCCCTTTTTCAGACAATAAATGCAGATATTTTGAGATGGATTACACAACAGGCAGGTGTCAAGAGGCTGCTAATTGATTTTCACACCACATAAAAATACTACACAACTAACATCTCACCTCATTTTATAATACAACCCACAGGACAAAGCCGTATATTTGGGATTTGTAGCACTAGTACTGCAATACTACCACCTTTTATCCCAACTGTAAAGCAAAACAGTCCCGTGTATGTGGCTGCAGCGTTGAATGGTGACACTCGAACATTGTTTCTGTGTCTGTAAATCTCACAGCTGTCTGATGGTGTAACGTATAAGCGGCAGCTGTTAAAGAGCGCTGCTTCCCGGTGAGGGTGTGCACACTGCGCAGGTATGCGCCATGTGCATACGCGAATATAAGTCGCATATCGCATATGGGTCTGTGTGTGTTTGTGCGCGTTGCAGCGTGGGGAGGAGGGGGGGGGGGTCTCATTTGTATTCGCCACGAATCTACACTCACCTGCCAGAGCAACAGCAACCCCCCCACCCACTCTACCCTCAACAGATGGGCACCCGTCAGCTCACCCCTCTCCACTCTTCCCCTTTCACCCTAAACAAAAAAAAATGCACGCACGCACACAAAATAAGCTTCGACACACTCGGTGAAATGAGCAGGGATCCTCGGTGTAAAATGGAGTGGCTGAAACATATGGATTAGAAATAGGGTAGGGAAGTCCATTAGTACAAGCAGAGCGCTGGTGTCACGTTATTTATCTCAGCGCCGAGCATACATCAATTACCCATGCATGGATATGCTTAAATATTAATCTTCCTTTTCATCCTTTTTCCCTTTGCACCCTCTCTGTTTCTCTCGTTTCCTCATACCACGTCTCACCTGCATCTAATCGTTCACTTCCTCCCTTCCTCACCCTCCCTCGGGCTGTTCCTCCAACCCGTTCAGGACCAGTGGCTGGCCCGCAGTCCCATGCTGCAGAGGCGGGTGTACCACGTCATGGCGGCGGTGAGGAGGCAGCTCTACGTGCTGGGCGGCAACGACCTGGACTACAACAACGACCGCATCCTGGTCCGCCACATCGACTCCTACAGCATGGACCTGGACCAGTGGACGCGCTGCTCCTTCAGCCTCCTCACGGGTGGGCCAAGTGAAGGCGCGCGCACACACACACACGCACACGCACACGCACACGCACACGCGAGACCAAGCACGACACTCCCGGATGAAGATCAATCCGTTGATAGTGACCATTTAAGGACGGCTTTCCTCCCAGTGTGAGGTAGATTAAAACATGGGTGGACATCACGTGGAAACAGCGGTCTGGGTAAAACACTAAAGGGACAGTGATGCTTATTGACTATTGAGAAGACGAGACTGATGCCGCTCTGACATCTTTTGCTTTAAGTGAGCAGAGGAGAACGTCCTCTTGTCTCCTCTGAGTGAGACATTGGACACTTTACTGAAAACCAGGAATCAACGAACAAAAGATGCTCACGCTACGCCGAAAAGAGAGCTCAGTCCACCGAGAGGGAGCGCGGCGATTGTCATCAGCGCATTATGTAAATGTATGTGTGTCCAAGAGCAGCGCTTAAACGTCTTTGGAACCACCGATATCAAGCGATGTCTTTTATACAGTTTTGAGCGCTAGAACAAGTGACAGAGGGGTTGTTCGTGGTGATTGTCGCCTGACTGAAGTTCCCCTCAGCTTCAGGAGCCTCCTTCAGCTCTTTGTCTTTTGTTATTTGAGGGAGTTCTACCTCTCTCAACCATGAACCATCACACATGCAACATTGTAAATCTGTAGAGCAGCGCTGGAGATCCAGATGTTCACCTGTTCATCAGGAGTTGAGTTGAGGAAAGTATAAAGCAGAGTTACTATAGTCCCAGTCGACTTTTCCATTAAAAGCCCCGAGCAAACTTTCAGCACACAAACAAGGAATAAGCTTGATGTAGATTGATGTAGGCTTGTCAATTCAGTCTGATTAAAGATGTGAAATACATGAGCTGATCTTTTCAGTGTCAAAGTCGAACCGCATCACTCGCTTTCACACTTCATCTCTGAATCAAACTATTTGTAGTGAATATTTCATGTGAGAAACACTAATTAATGCAAGTTCATCTCGAACACAGAAACACAGGTCGAGTAAAGCGCTCTGCTTCCTCCTCCTCTCATTAGATGCAAACATATCCCATAATGCATCACCGCTGGTTGTGAGGAGGTGGTAGGATGCTATACAGCTCATGCCCCGTGGGCATCCTGCAGCTGCAGCCTCCGGGCTGATGGAGGTGGGATGGAGTGGCACCTCCATCAGCCTGGACCTACAGAGGCACAACCCACCGTATTCCAAGCCGGCCGAGTGAAGCACCGTGTCGCCTCTTTGTCCCCCTGCAGGCCAGAATGAGTCTGGAGTGGCCGTCCACGATGACAGGATCTACGTGGTTGGAGGATACTCCATTTGGACCAACGAGCCTCTGGCATGCATTCAAGTGAGCGATGGGGCTTTTTACATGCATGTTTATTCAAACCTCACACTGGGATCAGAATTTGGGTGTTCTGTTGATAGCAAGCTGCTGACAGAGTTCAGTGAAACAGCAACACACACACAACAATGAGTAGATCGATGGGGCATATTCGTTTTAAGGCGGCCCTCAGAAATACAAACAGCAGCTCATCGAATAATATGTGTAAAAGTGTCAAAAACCGAGCTGACACCCATGTCCCGTTTGCAGGTGCTGGACCTGAGCACAGAGGGGAAGGAGGAGGTTTTCTACGGGCCGACGTTGCCATTCGCCTCCACGGGATAGCGACTTGCTTCCTCCCGGCTCCTTTCTTCACCTGCCCCAACCTGCAGACCCTACAAGTACCACATCACAGGATCGGTGCAGTTTAAACCCCCATACAACCCCCCCCCCCCCCCCCAAAAGAAAAACTATATAAACACTAAGTATGTGCGAACACGGCCGACAAAGACGTACCTGCTGTGGCGTCACAGGAGGGTACACAGACTTCGCCGAGACCTCAGATGTCATTCATTTCATACGTTGAGACTCAAGAGACAAGGTGTTTCTGCAGGCTTCTAGCAATCTAAAAGCATAAAAAAAATAACAAGCAGATGCCACAATAATACAGCGTACCTGTTGTATTTACCCAAAGACTGACCCCAACTCCAAAGGGATCCATTCCCTGAGAAGACGGGAACAAAACAAGTGACTTGTGGGAAGCGAACTTTCCTGAATTGCTCAAATGTCCACAGGAGTTCCAACAAACTGTCCTCTTTCTAACCCGTTATAAGGGTTGAAGAGATTGTCTTTTTTATTGTCTAAAATCACTGTCGACCGCGTCGGTGGTCTTTTTCCACATATGGAGAAGCGTTTCCTCATCGACTCGCATGCATTTAGAAACGGCAGGCTGTGTTGTATCAAAAGCTTGAAGCACATTAACAACCATGTCATTTTTCTTAACCCTTTAAATAAGGTTAAAAAAAACAGTTTAGGTTCAAATTTATGTCTATCGTCATCCAGAGAATGTCTTAAAAAAGGGTTTATACGATGTTAAAACACAAAGCAAGAAAACATCCCACTGCACAGAAGAATCTATGGCTCATTTTCAGACTTAAAAAGCCGCATGTACGTGCATGTGGATGCATTCGATGGGGGCTGTTCACAGCTCTGAGGGGAACGAGGTGAATTACCCAGCAGACCGACCACTAATCCAAAGCCTCACTCCTGCTGCCTCTCTCTGATGTCGGCGGGCGGAGAGGAACGCGGTGCAGCGGAGCGCCGCCCTGATGAAGGGATAGCGCACATCCACCTTTTGACGAGGCTGCAGAGATGACGCGCAGCGACAGATAACGGGACCTCGCTGATTGTGGGAGACAGGAGGGAGACTGAAGCCGCGTCGTGAGACATCGCCGCGACTTAGCAGGAGGATGGAGAATGGGAACAAACAGTACTGCTCTCGTGTTTCCTCCCTGGTTCTTTTCTCTCATTAGATACGTGAGCCAACCGGGTAGAGAGAGCGATCCGCCACATGATGGTACGAGCACGGATAATCTGCGCTGACACTCACTTTTCTCACTACGCAGCTGAAATAAAAAATAAATAAATGGGAGAGACCTTTATGAGCGTGTTCATATTTATTGTCACATTTATTACTTTAATAACCCATCTTTCAAAATGCAAAGCTGCACCGGTTTCTTTATACAATATGTACATTCCACAACACCTGTTGATATCATGACTTCAGTACATGATTCAAAAGTCCCGTGGTGCTGTTTATCTAGTTGTTGGGGTGGGAGTCACAGAGATATTGGTCGTAGAGACTCTCTACACAATATATGACACTTAGTTTGATTAAAAAAACTGAACAGAAATCATCGGCTGGTTACAGAAGACAATCCACAGACCTCGTTGTGAGCAGTCTCATGTAGGAACTATTTTCTCTCCCATCCATGAGTCGACGCACGCTTCCTTCTGTAGTGGTTTTCGGTATAAAGAGAAGTGCGCCTTTATGAAGCGGTGGATTATCTTGAGCAAAGAGGTCTTGATTATATTGCTGTTTTTTTTCCCCCCAGTCGGGCCGGACTCACACCAAAACAATCCAGATCATTTGCACCAAAAGGTAAGAGGAAAAAAACACCTTTTAAATTTTCACAGTTTTATATATCTGGTATGCTGCTCCGGCACACGAGGGACTGACAGTAACGGCTGGATTCCCAAACTAAAGAGAGAAGGCTGTGTGACTAACAAGTGGTTTCTGGAGCTGGAGCGTAAAAAAAACCCAACAACGCCGTTGTCTCAGTCGGCTTCCAGGCTGGTCATCTCTGCCTGCCCGCTCTCTCCGAGGAGGCACAGCAGCTTCCCGTAAGCGCTCCTGTCACACAGAGGCAGAGCAGACGGGTTAGTGGACACAGTCAATGAGGGACGCAGCCACACAACACCTCTGGGTTCTCTCCCCTACTCGTTGCCTAGACAACTCTGGTGTGACCCATGCGCTCTCTCACCTCAAGGCCATGTTCCTGCCCAGCCCTCTCTTGCGCTCCGTGTTCCTCAGACTCAGAGACAGGATGGGGAGGAGAGCTCGGACCGGGGCAGGGTCCAAAAGGGACACGGTCTCCAGGACGCCGTACACCTGCCGGTCGTACACGCCCTCGTTCTCCTCCACAAACGCCCTGGGAGCGGAAGAAATGAGGCTTTAATGGGATGGAGGGGGTTGTTGGGGCGAGGGGGAGGGGGGCAATGTTGTTGTTGATTACCGCAAAACGGCGACGGTCTGGTCACACGGCCCGGCTGGAGACGCGGCAGCACATCGCTCCACCACAAGCTGTAAGGCATCTGTGCTCGTCTTCCTCACTGCACGCACACACACACACACACACACGATTAGAGAGCCCCTCAGCGATTACTATGAGCTCAAACCTGATTGGGTTTCCCCCCCCGCCCCCCTCCCCCCTTCCGCATAATTTGCCCCAAAGTGAGGATTGATGAAAATTGTAAGCGTTACGGACATGTTTACAACCATCTCACTGATAGTAAGTAAGCACAATGATTACTGCATTTATTGAGTTGGTAGTGAAGCTGAAGCAAACGTGTGTGTCCTGCTCAGAAATATTTTGGAGAACCTTGAGCGAGAAAAGAAGGACGGAAAAATTGCTGCAATTCAACTAAATAGCGGTGGCCCTTTTAGTGGCTCACAATCCCTGTATGACATCCCGAGAAGCATCAGGGAACCTAATGGAGGCCCGGATTGGCCGGCACCAAGATTGTGAGTATCGGGTAACATACGGAGCCTCTTCCTAAAACCTCCTGAATGGTTATGAACACAACTGAAAGTTCTGTATCAAATCTGTATCAAATAGAAGAAGGCGGCCACACGCAACGTAGAAAAAAACGCACTCGATGAGCTCCAGATTTGCTGTTCAAATCTCACCCTGCGGCTCGTTGACCAGCATCACGCAGCGCAGCAGAGAGGGGAGGGGCAGAGTGAGGAGGGCGGGGTCTGAGTCACCGTTCCGTCTCAGGAGCTCCAGGAGGAACACCAGGACTGCGGCTAGCCGAGGCGGAGGGGCGTGACCTTTAAACCGCAGGAAGCTCTCGCTGGAAGATTGGAAAAAAGGATGAGAGATTTTAGTCTTTTTTATGGTTTTGGGGGAAAACAAGAAATTAACTCGGGTTACGTCCCAAAAAACAACGGATGACTGTGAAAGCCAGGTGGTTGACGGGGCAGCCAGAGACCTACCAGAGCACCTCCAGGATGGTCCTCCTCAGCGCAGCCCCCCGGGGTGTCGGGCTGGCCTCACAGGCGCTCAGGAGCACCGGGTGGTTGGCAATGACGCCCACGGAGGGCGAGGCGGGGAGGAAATGGTTCAGATACCTGCGAGTGACGGAGCGGAGTTGCTGCTTCAGGTGGGCGCCCTGCGCCTGAGACACGCTGCAAGCTACAGACAGACCCTGCACGGGAACAGAGTTAAAAGGAGCTAGTATGAGGAAACATCTCGACAAAGAAAGGACAAAAAGGGGATATATATATATATATATATATATGTCTGTCCTAACCTGTAAATACAGCGGCAGGCTTTCCCTGAGTGCTTTGTCCTGCTGTGTGAGGTTGTGTGGAAGCAGCAGCCCGTCCACGATGCGGAACAGCAGCTGCTGGGCTTTAGATGTGGCCAGCAGGGGGCTCCAGTGCTTCACTATGCAACCTGAATCGAAAAGACCAACAACCAGATTTAGACACAAAATATAAAAATCAACAACAACAGAGTGCTCCACTGTGCACCTACCGACGGCCCAGTAGACCAGCTGCAGCCCCTCCTGGTTCCTGCTGACGAGAGACGGTTTGATGTGTTTCAGGATGTCGCCGATGTAGTCCAGGGCTCTGGTCACCATCGCCGAGCGCTCGGACAGAACCTGCAGTCCGCCGTAGACGCCGCCGACGGCCTGCACACCACCACGCAGCAGATGAGAGGGAATCCGTGCAAATACAGGCCGCTGTGGCCACGAATACGTCACGCGTAGTAAAAGGTGATCCAAGACAGAGGATCCGCTGGATTCCTCAGGTCTCTCAGGACGGGGGGGGGGGGGGGACAGGGTCGGGACATTGAATATCTTTCAGAGACCCGCGTGGCCATGCGTTACCTTGACAAACAGCTCCAGGGCTGCAGCGGGCTGCAGCCTCGAGGCTGTGGGATGGAGGCCGGCCCTCTGCAGAAGACCGTCCACCTCGGGCAGTCTGAGCACGAGTCGCGTCAGCTCACACAGCTGAACCTCCACGTCGCGGCCTGGAAGCGATGCGGGGCAAGACGTAAGGAAAATGAGAAGATGAGAAACATTCTTCTGCAATGAGACGGGAATGCTTCTCGATTCAGAGCAGAGACGAGGTGTGAAGATTAAGGATTTCCCCTTGAGTACAGAAACGTTTCCTACAATTTGTTGTTGGCGTAGCCTGTCGCCTTAAATGATTTTAAAAAAGAATATTCAATGTATTTGTTGCGTACTTGTAGGCTGTGTCCTTAAGAGGACAGTGTGCATGCTTATATTCCTTAACTGAGGATTAACACAGGTGATATAAACAATAACCAAAAACAGTCATGGAAACTTCTTTACAGAATAAAAAGGTAAATAAACTATTTAAGAAGATTATCCAGGCAAAACCTTTTCATTGTATTACTTACACCTGTCGTGAAGACGGGGCAGAGAAAAATCACCAGATGTACTTAATATGTATGTGGAATAGGAGTATGAGACCTTCCCAGTTTGCTGATCCAGCACGCACCCCAGGAGGCCCACGTGCACCCGCATGTAAGTGCATTCAGCCTGGTGTTTAATGGATGGTTGTTATGTTTTACCCGTTCTGCTGTCGGACCCGTCCGGGTCCTTTTGGAGATGCTGCTGTAGAACACAGCGGATCCAGGCCCTCACCGACAGGCTCTGTGCCGAGCCCGACACCACAGCGGCAGAATCGCGGCTCAGCGAGGACATCAGCTCGCTGGGAAATAAAGACAACAGTAAAGTCCCGCCGGTGTGACGTGTGAAGTTTTTACAGCTATTGGATTTACCGTTCTTTACTTGATGAAGATGTACAGAAACCTCAAGCATTCAATAAGGGCGTGGCCAAAGCCATATACGGGAGAACAGCCAACATTAATGTCAATGTTAAAATTCACGCCGGATGCCCCATTGTGCTGAAGTGGTCATATTTTGTCGTCCTCTGACAGGAGAATGTCTACGCCAGGCCATAAACGCTGAGATCCACTTGTGTCTGAAACACATAAACGCCTCCTGCCATCAGATTTCCTTTTAGTCGACGTACGGCTTTTACTGATGAGTCTGGAAGGACGGAAGGAGGTGAACGTTTATATCTAAAAGGGGGGTCATTTAATTACATTTTTCGCGAGAAAGAAAACGTTAGTTCATTTTCAGCAATTACACAGCTTTAAGAGCTCAAAGAGTGCTGGACGGAGGCTTGGCGGGCCGGTGCTTCTAAACAATAAATAAGAGGGGTGCCCTTGTTCTCCGGCTTCATATTCAGGCGGAGCACCTGAACATCACTTGGCAAAACGTCTGAAGAGGACCGCTGAGGTTGAAACAGTCACATCGTGCCCTTGAGTGTGATCGTGGAGATGCACTACAGTTTGGAAGCAGTTTACAGGCACGGGAGCAATTTCTTCCTTCGGACCCATTTCGATCGTACCAAGGACGCTCCCCGCCTCATCTGATCATCAGATGGCACCAATACACCCGCAGGAGTTGTGGGAGAAATATTTTCTTGAGGGCCATTTACTGCGATGGAGCTTGATAGCTGGTCATTTCAGAGGCGTTCATCCTCCCTGTCTGACCGACCTGATGGTTTCCCCCTCAGGAGCGCTGTGATTACACGGCATTAAGAGGCACAAAGTGTGGCCCCCCCCAAAGGGCAACTGTACCTGTTCTGGAGCAGATGGGGGAGGTAGCGGGTTACCAGAACTGGTTGAACCATGTCGTCCCAGCCGAAGCATTGCATGATGGACTGCACCGGGTGGTGCTGCAGGTCCTGGGGGGCGGAGTTCGGCAGATCAAACGCCAGCAGGGTGAAGCCTGAGGAAGACGAAAACAATCACCCTTTTTGCTGGAAGTTCTTGAA